TGTGATAATCGTGACAACTTTTACATATCGTTTTACATGATTTTTCCTCATTCAAAGCTAGCATTTAATGTATTGATGAACATATATATGTTTCATATGTACTTGATTCACAATATGAAAAAAAAATTACATATAACTTTTGTTTCACAAACATGGTAAAAAGGTTCATGTTGTGAAACAAACATATATGAAACAATTTATTAAATTATACTTTTGATGAAAAAATAACGTAAAAAATCAACTTTAGATCGTTTTCTCAGTTATTTTTTGAACTAGATGAACGTTTGAGATTGATTTATACTGATAATTGAATATATATATATATATATATATAGGGTTGGGTTCACGTGAGACCGATATGTTTTCGTAAGACACGTGAGACAACATTTTTACACTTAAAACTTCACAACTAAATGTTGTGAAGGTAAAAAAAATTTGAACCTTCACAGCAAAAATACCGTGAAGGTTCCCTTCACAGTGTTTTGCTGTGAAGTTTCAAATGTGAAAATGTTGTCTCACGAAAACAACTTTATCTCACATGATCTGAAGTCTCTCTCTCTCTCTCTCTCTTTATATATATATATATATATATATATATATATATATACACACACATACACACAACACATATATTATAAGGATACTCGCGCAATGTAGCGAGATACATCTCGATTTTAATGTTTCGCTTTATATTTTGGCTCTATTAATGTTATAATGCGACATTATGTGGTTTTGAGGAAATGAATATGTTTTTATTTTTTAATAAAATATAAATTCGAAGATACTATAAATATTTGAAAAAAATAATCGATATTAGTATCAAATTAACTATTTAAAAGTTCTCGTTTTTTTTTTAATTTCTTTAATTCAATTTTTATTATAATTTAATTGAAGTTTAATAACGAACTAATTTATTTATGGTTTAATAAAGTAGTTTTTTTAACATAATAATTAAGTATTCTGTTAGAACACAATGATTATCCTAATTATATTTTAGATTTTTTATATTTAAAATGATGTTTATCATGTATTTGATCATGTTTATCTGCAGTTAGTTACACAAATTCAAACACGGAGCTCTAATAAGATGTAGTCACACATATTTTACTTGTAATATTGAATTTTAAGTAATATACATCAATAAGCAAAAATTTATGTATTAAAAAAATGGTTTTTAAGAGTTTTTATCAAATGTTTTATAATATAACTAGAAGGGTACTCGCGCAATACAACGAGATAAATCTTGATTTTAATGTTTAATTTTTATTCTTTGTCTCTATTAATATAATACAATTTTATGTGATTTTGAGAAAACGATAATGCTTTTATTTTTCAATGAAATATTAATCTGAAGATAACATAAAAAATTGAAAAAAATAAATCGATATTAGTACCAAATTAACTATTTAATAGTTCTTGTTTTTTCTGTGTAACTTTTTTAATTCAATTTTTTATTATAATTTAATAACAAAGTAATTTATTTTTGGTTTAACAATATAATTTTTAAGATAATAATTACGTATTCTGTTAAAACATAATTATTATTCTAACTATATTTTAGATTTTTATATTTAAAATGATTTTTATCATGTATTTGATTATGTTTATCTATAGTTAATTACACGAATTCAAATACGAAGCTCTACTACTCCAATAAAATATATTCACACACATTCTACTTGTAATCTTAAATTTTAAGTAATATGCATTAATAAACAATACTTTATGCATAAAAAATAGGTTTTAAAAGTTTTTATCAAATGTGTTATATATATATATATATATATATATATATATATAGGGTTGGGTTCACGTAAGACCAATGGTTTTTCGTGAGACCCGTAAGACCAATTTATGTTCATTGATCAATTTTATAATCTAANTTTAGCATTAAACTTTAAACTTGTAGGGGTATTTTTGACCTATATATTTTTTCTTTCTTTAACCTATATATATAGATCTAATCCAAGGGTTAAGAATTGGTCTTACGGGTCTCACGAAAAAYYHTTGGTCTCACATGATCCCAAGTCTATATATATATATATATATATATATATATAATTAAATTGTTATGATATATGGAACTAATTTAAGTAATATATCTATGTATGTTGTTTTCTATAGTAACATGACTTAAATCAAAATACCTAATGATATTAATTACATTTAAATTCATTGAGACATAAAAATTAATTTTCATCTACTATTGTGGGTACTAATGGACCACATTCATTTCATATAAATTATTACAATCAATTAATTTTTTTTAATAATTTAATTATTTAAAAATACTTTTTAATCAAAAAATAAATAAATATGTGTAACATTTGGCAAGGGTAATAATTACATAAATCATATTTTTAGAAATATTTCCTACTTAACAGTCCTGATTGTCTCGATTAATTTGTGTACATGTTTATAACTGATTTCATCTGATTATAAAATTAATTAATAAACAACTCCTTCGATAGTTATACTTGAATTGCTGATTTATGTGGAGATACTGTTTTTATTAATGAACATTGTAGTTGTTTGACCCATAATCAGATGTTTTATTTAATTATTAGAATGGTACTCGCACAATGCAGCGAGATACATCTCGATTTTGATGTTTTGTTTTTTTCTTTGTTTCAGTCGATGTTATAATCGATATCATAAAAAAATTTAAAGAAAGAATATTGATATTAATACCAAAATAACTATTGGAAAGTTCCCCTTTTTTGTATATTCCTTTAACTCATTTTTTTATTTTTGGTTTAATAATATATTTTTTTATAAAGATAATGATGAAATATTTTCTTATAACTCAATGCTTATCCTAATTATATTTTAGATTTTTTATATTTAAAATGAGATGTTTATCCTTTATTTGATTATATTTATCTGCAGTTAGTTACACGAATTCAAATATAAAACTTTAATAAGTTGTACTTACGCACAATTTACTTGTAATCTTAAAATTTAAGTAATATATATCAATAAACAATACTTTATACATAAAAAATGGCTTTTAAGATTTTTGTCAAATGTTTTATAATATAGTATAGAAATATAAAGTCAAATATGTTTTTAGTGGAAAATCGTTATTTTAGAATGCATTTGGTACACGTAACATTTTACACAACAAGACATAGCAAAAAAAATGGTTTCTCATGTTTGGTGTGATAATTAGGCTGAGATTGAACATGAATCAGTTACACATTACATTTTTTTTGTCCCAACAAGACAGGTGGAACAAAAACCATGGAGATGAGACAAACTTGATAAATTACTAAATTGACCATGTCAAATTAAAATTCTAAAATTTTTCACATTTTTTTTCACCTGCCTACCCCGCTCTTATCAATTTAGTTCTGTTTGATTCTATTTCGTGTACCAAATTTGCTCTTAGACCATCTTTAACTGAAAGTGCTAAAGGTGACACTGATGTTAAATCTATAAAAAAATTACATTCAACTCCAACAACTACTCTATTTAAGCAATTCTAATATTGACTATACTTTTAAAATATTCAATACATTTAATAAAATATTATTTTTTCTTCTAAAAATTTATGTTCAGTACTTCTCATTGGTGGGAAATTATAAAATAATGAAGAAAACGAAGATTTTTGGCATAGTTTTGCTCCAAGAGTTTTTCAAAAGTTTATCCAAAATAGAGAAAAAATAATATTTTATTATATATACAAACTATTTAATAATATAATTAGTGCGTCAGTCTCCAAAATAAATTATCCGTTGAAAATGAATGTACTTTTTGTGGAAATTTTGAGTTTTGGTTCTTCATTCTAGAGAAATTTAAAAGAATCTATTGGAGATGCTCTTAGCATACAAGATAACATAGCTGTTAGAGATGTTCAAGATAACCAACTAAGATGGAAATGCGGTGGGTATTAGGCGGGTAATGCATCATCCATCCCTGACCTGTTTAAGCCTCTGTCCCCTCCCTACGCCTTGATTAATTCTTGACGGGTTCGAGGAACCCGTTTATTAAAAAATATATAAAAATAATGTATTTTAAAAGTAAAACTATGATAAATCACCACTAAATTAATCACCAATACTAAAAATCAAACATATTTATCATTTAATAACAAATGTATACATATATACATAGGTTTCGAATCTGGTGAGAAAGGATCTCCACCCTTGGATGTACATCAGGATGAGATGCATCAGATCAATCCCCTTATCAAGCTTAATTCATGGTTGAATTTGATATTAAAGGTAATCAATAGTCCAGATATCTTCTTATGCTTCTCATCTTAACTCTCATTCTCACATGATGCTTCGTCTATATACATATATATATATATATATACATACATATATATATATATTAATATATACACACACCACATACATATATTAAATAAATTAAAAAATTTATCAGTATCGAATTAGGGATTGTAATACTATCTTCGACCCTATGAAAATAAATCCCTGCCCCCACCTAGTTACCCGTCAAAATGGAGAATCATCGGGGTTGTTTGTTTACTTCTTAATAGTTTCATTAAAGACAACATCTGAATCGTTAAGAAGTGAATCTTGTTTGGCAAAAAAAAAAAATTTGTCTCTTAATTGTTCTAAAACTCTTTGAATGATTTTGTATTATGGATCTCCCTTAACCATTAAGAGCCCTAATTTCATTATACACAATTACCAAACAATTATATTTCATTTTACGCTATATCATGAGAACCTTTTAATCATTCTAACCACTTAATCATTCTACATCAAATCATTCAACAATCGTCAAAAAAATTTCATGTCTATGCCCAACGAGATAAGTTAGAATTTCAAACGTGATAAATTGAGAACGATAAGTACGAGAACTCGTGGGTGAGACCCACAATCCGCATTCATGTTCTTTCTTTTCCCCGCCCCCTCGTCTCTCTCTCTCTCTCTCTCTCTCTCTCTTCAACAAACAAGCAGATGATCTCCCACAAAAATAGAACCCATAAAACTACTCTCTTTGAAGACGTTACTTCTACGATCCCTTTCGTCAACTAGGGTTTTTCATTCCCTCAATTAAACTCCATTTATGTTTTCTTTAGCTTTGTTGTTAAGCTAGTCGGAGAAAAGTACTAATCGAAACGGAAAAAGGTATGCCGTAAGTTAATCGATTGTTCAGTTTCATCTTCTTTAGCCATTCTCTTTTTTCTTTTCGTTTTTGAGATTAAATGCATTGGGAGAGAGACAGAGAGAAGGAGAGAGATCATCTGACTTGTTCTGTTTTCTATTAATTGTTGTTTCTGCTTGTTACCTTAGTTGGTGCTCTTGATGAGGAGTTTTTGATCTTCTTCTCATGATGATTGTAAAGGATTTGTTGTGTTTTTGATCGAATTTCTTCATTGGAGTTCGAATTAGACCATGTGATTTCAAATTTTCGAGAAGATTTGAGGTATAATCGGTTACGTGTGTTATTAGAACAATTTGAATGCTCATCGCTATAATCCAATTTTTTTTCTGTTTTTGTGCATCGATCGCTATTTGTTTGATTATAGTTAGAAGTTGATGAATTGCAGGTTGATAGAAATTATAGAATTCCTGTTGCTTTTGTTTATGAATCATGATTCAATTTTTGTTCAGATCTAACTATGATTTGTTCTATTTAGTTGATTACATTCATAAACACATCAATTACACTCATATGATCTAATGCATTATGCATACGTTTTGTCATAATTAGATCCTTTTCAGTCAAAAGGTTGATTGTTTCCTTTATACGTACACATTGTAAAGTTTTTTTTACTATTTGCTAAAAACACAATCCTTTGTAAAAAGGTTATTCATAAAAGACCCCGGAGATCATATCGAACGGGTGTAATTTTTGCCCGTAATCCGTTTGGCAATTCCCAAGTGTTTGATTTGAATGATTTTGGGTTCTTTTCATAAGTTTTAATGCTTTCTTATATTCATCAAACTAAATTACCCTTCATTGGATCATCAGAATAACCACAGAGCGTTTGTTTTATTTCAGGTAAAAAGTTTCTAATACGTTCTACGTTTGTTTTAATGAATACCCCAACTGAAGAAAAGCAGAGAAGGAAGTCGATAGGTACTCCAGGTTCTTCGAATGGTGGTTTGAATCTTGGCGGAGGCAAAACCAGAAGGTACTCGATTGGTGTAGCAAGTTCTCAGAAGGGTGTTGGAGAAGAAGGTAATGTTGTCCCTAATTATCTCAGAGCTTCGACTGGTTCTTGTCATGATTTCTGTAAATACGGTAAGAAACACGAACACTCTAAATCGGCAATTCCTATAACGTTCAAAAGAACAACGATCGTCAGTAAAGAGAAATTTACAAAGACTGTAGTTCCAATAGAAAGAAACAAGACAAAAATGGTGGCAAAACTCGAGCCTTCTACAGATTCCATAATTCGGACGCCTTTTGAACCCCATGATGTTTCTTTACGATCCAAGAAAGCACAAGTTTCAAAACGGATTTCGTCAACAAATAGAAAAGCAACAGAAAGTGAGCTTAAAATGCCTGTGAACCCTTCTTCATCTGTCAATGATGCTTCAGCATCAGCAGGGACGAACAGCAGGATTAAAAAGAAAGACATCAGAGCTGTAAAAAAGACGGGAGTGGCACCTACAACTACAATGGCTGCTACCCTAAAGAGGATTGTTGTCAAAACTACCCCAATTGAATCACAGTCTTCTAAACGTTCCTTCGATAGGGCTGCAAGTTTGAAGGCAATAAAAGACAAGAACCTTAAGCAGGTGTCTCCTTTAAAGGATCAAAACAGGATGCAAAAAAACGAGCTCAAGAAACTGATCACCGACAATGTTCAGACAAAAAACTTGCACGGTGGTGATGCAGAATCCGAGGCCAAACCTCAGACCATGGAGTTTGAATTTATTTGTTCAACTATTGAAACTATTCAGTCTCCCCCACCTCCATCAATGGAGTTGATTTCAGACAAAAATGTTATAGAAGAAGAGTCGATGATCGTGCATCCAGTCTACGAAAGCTCTCAACTTTTTCCAGATAAAGAACTTCTAGAAGAGTCGTTAATTGTACCACCTGGCTTCGAAAGCTCCCAATCTTCTTCAGACAGAGAATTGTTAGAAGGGTCATCGATCAAACCTACGATCTCTGAAAGATCTCAGTCTTCTTATGAGGAAGGGGTTCTAGAAGAAGATTTTGAATATACTGATGGTGAAGAAGTTGAATCTTTTTGTGAGGAAGAGTTTGAAGGCACCGATGATGAGGAAGTTTTTCCCTCTGGAAATAATGATGAACCGGAAACTTTAGGGACGCAGACCAAGATCCCAAGAAAGGGCAGAATGGTAAATTCTGAAGACAAAGATGAGGAGGGTGTGAAGTTAAGATTCAGAAGGGGAACGGTTCTTGATCTTCAATCTGAGAATAATGGTCCTAGAAGGCTCAAATTCAAGAGGAGAGTCATTGAGGGTAATGAAGATGGTCAAACCATTGCCAGAAGAACTTATAAAAACAAAACTCTTGATCTTCAAGCCGAGATCAACGGTCCTAGAAGGCTCCCTTTCAGGAAAGGGAAAGTTATGGAGGGTCATGAGCATGACGGCAAACGTATTGCTAGAAGAACTTTTGAAAAGAAATATATTGAAGAAAAAGACGATTCTAACCATGGTCTCGAAAGTGTTGTTTTGAAGCATCAAGGTGAGCAGGGCAAAAAAGACGCTCAGGGGTTGTTCAATAACGTCATAGAAGAAACAGCAAGTAAACTCGTTGAAAGCCGAAAGAGTAAAGTGAAGGCATTGGTGGGTGCTTTTGAAACCGTAATCTCCCTCCAAGATTCCAAACCATCTTCTACGTAACAAATGGAAACTTTTCTTTCACAAGAACTCGGGTTTTGTAAAGAAACCGTAGATGAAGAGCCTGGTGTGCTTGTGATGGGAATAACTGAATCACTATCTGGGAGTTTTATGCAAATGAATAGGGATGATCTGAGGACGTCCGTGGGCTGCTGGTAATTGAGGTATGTGGCTGCTTTTGCTTTTGGTGTTACTTTCTTTTTTCGATCTCTTTTCGCTATCTTTTTTTGCAGTTTGACTTACGTACGAATAAATGAAGTGACAATCTTACTATCAGGTTTACTAATATGCAAACTTGTCCACATAGTTGAGTGCTTGTTTGATCTGTGTATGATTTGGTTTTCTTTTGAAATTGATCAAGTTTAGGGTTTGTGGAACAATGTTGACAATCTTACAGTAATATTATGTCTTTTTTTTTTTGTTAACTCTAATATGTTGTTCGTTGTTCTTCAAGGTCGTATTTTAACATGTTAAATATGAGATTTTGAACTGGACGCACGACAATTTTACATTTGTTTAGGGCCTTTTTGTCTGCTTGTTTGAAGGTCGCCGTTTTTGTGTGTGTAAATTAGGTTCAGATAATTAGATTATTAATTGTTTGGTTTTATCCTTTTTATGTGCTTAACATGTAATATAGCTTTGGTATCTCAGTTTATTAGGATGCGTTTGGTACAGTGGACAGACAGAACATAGATCATTGTTCCATGTTTGACATGACTTTTATGTAGACTGAAACAAACAAGAACATAGTGGAACATGTGTGTTTCACCCGCACCCCATGGAACAAGCCTGTATTTTATCGATATACTCTCAAAATAAAACTTAATTCTCAATACTGTCCAAAGCCGTCTTACCAAATGTTGAAAAATGGTTCTGTTATATCTTATACCAAACACACCCTTTAAGTTTGATCATGGTGGCTTTTTGTGAAGCCATTAATGCACAATTGAAAGACAACTTACCAGAACTCCCATAATCAGAACTTTGGACAAGTTTGTTTGACCATGGTGGTGACTCTTCTTTGTATGAGCCAATAATGCACAAATGAATGGTAATTTACCATAAAGCCCTTATATTTGACAACTTGAAACCTACAAAAGTTTCTTGAGTCAATTTAACCAATACCAATCTTGTGTTATTTCCTCTTATAATCGTAACAAATGTAAGATAAACAATTCTACCGGTTTTGTCTGTCTCGGTTTTGTCTAGTTCTATCCGGTCTTTATCATCTACAATTAGGGAGCGGTAAAAAATGACCTAATCCGTTAACCGAACCCAATCCAAAATTAGCAGGTTGGGTTGAGATTTTCAACTCAAATAAATAAATGAGTCAACCCGTCTAACCCATTTAAATAAATGGGTTGGGTTGAATTTTTTTGGCTTGTTCTCAACCCATTTAAAATATTGTATAATTTTATTTTATTCTTAATATTATATCTAGTATTCTAATTTTTAATTTTGTTTTATTCTTAATTAAAAATCCTACCGTCGTGAGATGAAACTCCAAATTCCAATCGCCTCCATTACCCTTAATCATCATGAAACCCTAAGAAAACCCTTTAGTCCATTACTCAATTATCGCTTCCAAAGTCCAATTCAACTTATTTTGAACAATATATTTGTTGTGGTTGTGTTTTATTCAAACTTAAACAATTTGTTTGTATTTGTAGTTGTGTTTTATTCAAAAAAAAATTAAATAGTCTAGTTCTTTTTTTATTTAAAATTAACAAGTTAGGTTAAGAAAATCATAAACATGTCAACTCATTTAGCTAACAGGTTGGGTTGGATTGGGTTGAAAAATCTCAACCCATTTAATAATTAAATGGGTTGGGTTGAGACTTTCAACATGTTTAATAAATGGGTTGAACCCGAACCCAACCCAACTTGACTCATTGCCACCCCTAATTGACATCTCCAAAGTTCTTTCAACATTCACCCCTTTTTCATCAGTTTTAATAAGCTTATCACATTTTAAATGATAGTGTATATATGGAAAACTGTGGAAAAATGAAAAACTAAAGAACATTTAATAACTATTCATTTGTATGGTATGTACATGCGCATACAAGTAATTAGAGATGTTTTCAAAGTGTGTATGTATGTGTGCATGTTATAGAAACTAGGGGACATCTTCGATTACTTGTATACAAATATGCATACCGTACAAATGAATGGTTAGTAGGGTATGTTTTTCATTTTCATTTTGTAGCTTTCATAGACCGGGCCCTGTATTTTATATCTATATCTATTACATCATGTAATAAAGGGATTGGCAAAACAATAAATCAAGAAGCCAAATAAAATTTTCTTTGTATCAAATGGCTAAGATCGATTATCACATACACATACAGTCATGAGTTCGTTATTGCATGAATTGAATGGTTCAGCAAAATGTATAATGTTGTTACGCGTTTATTGCACAAGATTACTGCATTGTGATACAAACCACGATCTGTTAAAAAAAAATGCAACTGTTTAAAAAAATTTGAACACAGTAATCTTCATGCTCGAGTGTTAATAGCCGATTGTCATATACAATCAACTAATCTATTCCAAAGTTTGGGTTGAGATTTCACCATTAAACCCGAGCTTGCAAACAAGGGCACCAATAGTTTCTGCTAGGATTTGTATCGTTCGTTATTATTTAAGTACGATGCATAATACCATCCATGAAGGACAAAACGCAACCTCTTCAGAAAAGAAGATACAAATAAAGGAACGACAAATAATGAACGTCCTCGATCATTGATTTTTAATTGTCATAATCAAATTCTTTTAACGTTCTAACCATATACGGACGGCCTCGAAGACCTAAACCATGCACCCCTTATCATCTCACCCGAGAGTGTCATATGTGGAGCTGTAAAAGAAATACGTCAAGAGATTAAAGTAGCATTTCGCTTGCTGGTTGACATTGAGTGTTAGTGAGATATATGTTCATGGACAGATACTTCATGTGAAGAAGCGATGCTCACATTCCAAAAAATAGGGTTTCGTTTATATGAATGAGATGATCTGTAAAAATCTTGTAAATTAACAAGACAAAAGTATCGATACAATGTACAATACAAGGAAAACACATAACTAGTAATAAATGTGTGCATATGGGCCTAGCCCCAATATTTGTTTATGTCGGTTCTAAAAAGCTCGGTTAAAAACCGTGATGCTCAGCTGCTGAGTGATGTTCTTTTAAAAAAAAAAAACTATTCAAACAAAAAAAATGTAAATATTAAAAGAGAAAAAAAAACGTCATGCTAGTCTCAGCTATTGAGTGAGTCAGTTGTCAAAGGAGTGGAATGGTTTGTCCAGACACAAAACGGGTATTGGGTTCGATTTCAACCCCTTGCTAGCTTCAGCTGTCGAGTGATGTTCTTTTACATTGGTGTATTTGGAGGCGAGTTCCGTATGAGATCAATTAAGATTGTCGGTAATCAACTTTTTATCCAAATTAAAGAGGAAAAACACCCAACACGAGTCAAAACCGACCTTAATCGAGATGTGACCGGTCTATAATCTAATGGCAGTGACCTAACTTAAATCACGTACTATAACGTGAAAAATGTCATCATCGGGTGCACAATTTCGGTTCATAGTAAAAGTATATATTAAATCAACTATTATTAGTTTTTTTTTTGAGGAATATTTATATATTTTAAAAATCAATAAATTTTAATAAAAAATAAGAAAATCAGTTAATATAGTCATTTTCAGATGTTGGTTTCATCTCTTAGTCAATTCTTTCCTAAAATCATCAAAATGTCACTAGATTCGAAAAGTGGCAGGTCTGCAATTTATGGAGGGCTTAAAGTGTAAAAAAAGTTTTTGGTCCGTAAATACATGTACCAAATCTGAAAATTCGTCCCAATACCACGACAAATTGCGGATCTAGACTTGCGGACCTATATCAATTTTAGAGATTTGGTTCTGCAATTGCGGACCTAGTTTAAGAATTTCTTTGTTTACACTTTAACCCCTCCACAAATTACAAACCTATCACTTATGGATCTAATGACATTTTAATGATTTTAAAAGAGAAATTACTAAGAGGATGTTTGACAGTTATTGAATGGTTGAGTGTAGAATGATTAAGTGGTCAAAATGATTAAAAAACTCTCATGATATAGTGAAAAATGAAATATAATTGTTTGATAATTGTTTACAATAAAATTAGAACGCTAAATGGTTAAGAAAGCCCAAAATACAAAATCATTCAAAAGGTTTTAAAATCATTAAGAAATAAACTTTTTTTAACAAATAAAATTCAATTTTTAACAATTCAGATATTATCTTTTAATTAAATTTTTAAGAAGTAACCAAATAACCCCTACAAAACCACCTAAAAAATGTGATGGATAAAAGATTAATATTAAAGAAAATGCCAACTGTAGGCTGCCAATTGCATTCCACAAATCAAGTCTTACCTGGTGACTTGGATGGGTTTCCATACATCAAGACAACCCAATAACAACCCTCCACGTATTACTGGGGCCCACTTCACCGATAGACTTTGTCATCATTGTCACATTAAAATAACCGGCATGTCATTTTATCACTTTCTTTAATAATACTTTGAGTAAACTTCAATTTTGGTCCTTAAAGTTTAGTGACAAGTTTAAAAGTAAGACCTAAACTTTAATAAATTTAAAAATCAGCTTTTTGGTTTTTTATTTTATCTAAAAGTGATCATAGGTCGTTAATTTTGTTTATTCCATTAAAATAAGGGTTATTTCAATCTTTTCATCAAAATTCTTTTTAAAAATAACATAATATATAATTCTATATTTTGGGGTTTATTTTGTTATAAAATTTATCTTTCAATCTAAATTTTGTAAAAGGTTATTTGTTTACCTCTTAATAGTTCCATTAAGATGCATGAGTTGTTTGTTTATCTCTTAATAGTTCCATTAAGAGGCATGAGTTGTTTGTTTATCTCTTAATAGTTCCATTAAAAGGCAACATTTGAATCGTTAAAAGGTGAATTTTGTTTGAAATTTTTTTTTGTCTCTTAATGGTTCTAAAACCCCCTGGATGATTTTGTATCATGTATCTCCCTTAACCATTAAGAGCCTAATTTCATTGTACACAATTACCGAACAATTATATTTCATTTTGCACTATATCATGAGAGTCTCTTAATCATTTTGATCACTTAATCATTCTGCACCAAATCATTCAACAATTGCCAAACAGTCCCGCAGTCTTTGAATTATTAAGAGGTAAATCTTGTTTGGTTAAAAAAAAAAAGTCGGTCCTTAATGGTTCTAAAATCCTTTAAGTGATAATGCATCATGGACCCCTCTTAACCATTCAGTGCCCTAATTTCATTATACACAATTATCACATAATTATATTTTATTTTGCACTATATCATAAAAGTCTCTCAATTATTCTGACCACTTAATCATTCTGTACCAAATCATTCAACAACTATCAAACAACCCCTTATTTTATAAATATAGAGAATAAAATTTCATGTTAATTTTTAAAAACAAAATTAAAGATTTCAGTAAAAAAACTGAACACAGAGTTAACGGTCAGGGACCACTTTTAGAGCAAAGTTAGAACTACAAAGATAACTTGTAGACTTATCAATATTTAGGTCCCACTTTTTAACTTTTCATTAAACCTTAAGGACCAAAATTGAAGTTTACTTTCATACACTCGACTTTTTTTTTTCTTCATCCAATCAGATATGCAACTCCGAAGAACCCTTTCCCCCATTCGTCACTCCCAAATTTCATAATTTTCTGTGACGCCAACAAACCCTAAAAAAAGGTAAGTATTTTTGACTCTTTTGCATCAGAAGTTCGATTCATGCATGTTTTGGATGTGTAGATTTAGTGGGTTCTTCAATTTCTTGTTTGATTTTGGTTCTTATGGAATATGTTTAGCAACCCTAATTTATGGGCTGTATTTCTTTGATTTCTTCATCGCAGGTGGTTAATTTTGTTGGGGTTATCCGAAAAGGGTGTTGCATATGAGCTGAGGTGAGGAACATGGCAAGTATTTAACTTCGATCTTGTGCAGTTACTTTTTAATTTCGTGTTTATTTGTTTGGTTTCGAGTTGGGATTGTTTTTAATTTTGAAATTAAATGCGCATTTCGTGGTGTTCTTGGAAGATTTGTGTAAAATTGTTGTTATGGTTTAACTTAGGGTTTTAAGCATTAATTTTTAGTGGCAAAGTGTAATTATATTTGAAGTTCTAAACTGTTTGGATCTTTGGCTCTTCTGTTGATCCAATGTTTTAAATGCCATCTACATGTGTAAGCAATTTGGGGGAAGTTGACTGTATTTATTAAGAGTCCCTTCTTTTGCAAAACACCACATACCATATAAACCAATCTCAACCATCCATCTAGTCTAATTCCATAAATATTTCGATTGTTTCCTGATCTAAAATGTTGATGATGATAAATGAAATATGATAATCTTCCTTAAATATCTGGATCATAATAAATGAAACCGTATCATTTCCATGAATATATCAATTGATTGATTTGTATGGTTCGTATTAGTTAGGTGGTTTGCGGGGGACTTCATTTATCAGTTGTGATGAGTAATGACGGTGCTCTCGTTCTGCGTTTGGGTTTGATTTATTTATTTAACTTCAAGTATAAACAAGGAAACAAAATGGAAAACTGAAGTTTTGAAACAATTTTATGTAGTAGTGTTGTTTAGGTCGGGAGAGGAGGGGATTTCACATCTATTATGCCATTTGAAAGTTAGATTTTAGTTGTTTGATGGTATTTAACGTTTCCAAGTTCTTGGAAACGAATTTTCTGCAACCCATGTTACAAAGGTGGATTCTTTGTCCAACGTAGGGTGGGTTTGATACGTTGGACGGGATGGAACAACATAGAACAAAAACTTGTCCCACGTTCGGCGTTCGGTGTGACGTTAGACTAGGATAGGACATAACATGACCCGAGTGGGACAAAATGCGTTTTTTTGTCCCAAAATAGGTGGAACAAAAGAAGGTGAGACAAGATTGGTAAATTACTAAGCTACCCATGTCAAATTAAAACCTCAAAACCTTCCAGAATGCTTTCACCCACTTACCTCGCTCTCGTCTTTCTATTCATGTCCAGTCATGTCCGCATACCAAATGCACCCTACATGATCGTCATCCACCCCCCCCCCCAGAGCAACAAAAGCATAATCTTGTGCATGGAAACTAGTTCATCCTAATATGTTATTAATAATTTTGGATAACTTAGCAAGAAGCCGAGACTCACTCTATTTACCTTCTCAAGAGATTCAAAAACCTCTATATGAATGCTATCGAGCCCTAAGGATTTACCTTATTTCATCTTTTGTAGAGATTCCTTCTCCTCCTACACTTCGGTTTTTCAAAGTTCTATTAGTATCATCAAGAGTTATCAATTCTCGCAACATTTATCTCACTATTTTGTTTAAGGACTATCAAAAGTTTATCTAACCTCATCTATTTATAAGGTAAACAATTCCTAACCTTGATGCATGTTATCTAACATACTAACATGGTCCTCAATATTCCGTCTCATCATCGTAGCCAAATTGTATACATCATTTTCTCCCCTCTATGCTTGCTAGTTTTTTGTGGTTCCGTTTGTTATGGGATAGGATGGGACATGATAGAACAAAAATTTGTTGTCCCACATTTCATGACATTAGACTTGGACAGTTGGGCCTTCATGGAACAAAAAAAAATACAACAATAGGTGGAAAATAATTAGGGAGACGAGACAAAATTGGTGAATTACTAAACTACCCATGCCAAAGTTACTCCAGCCGTCCCAAAACAATTGTCCAAATTTCTATTATAGTTTGTCCCAAAATAAGTGTCCCCTTTTTGAAAAGTAAATGCCTACTTTCCAATTCTACCCTTGACTATGAGATGGAGACATTTACTACTACCCCTATTATTAAGGGTAAACTTGTCATTTACTTAATTAAAAAGTGTACTAATTATACATTTCTAAAACTGTGTGCCTTTTTCATTGTGGACATTTTTTTTAAGGAGGGAGTATTGTTTGTTAACCTCTACATATACATAACTTATATTCATATTAAACTTATTACTTATGGAACTTCTACTATTCACATGTGCAGACAATGATCATAACCAAACAGTACCGGTGCATACACTCTGCTAGCTGTGTATGCACAAAAGGGCATTTAAGTGAAGATGTTATCTTCCTACTTCTTCAACATTTGAACTGGAATCCCAAAATAATCGCGATACTTTCTTGTGTATGCAAATGGTTCGATGATCTTGTGAAAAGAGTTCTCTGGAAGGAGTTTTGTCGAACACGAGCCCCAAAAATGATGCATGATCTTCAATCTAGTGGCAGCCACAGTGTCGACGGAAACTGGAGTGCACTCGGGAAGCTTCTTATATATTGTTCAGGATGCAAAAAGGATGGGTTGTTTAATAAAATTCACATTCCTGGCCACTTTGCTTATAGAACTCGGTTCTCCAGGACTTCTGGCAAAAGCTTTCTTCTGCCAAATTGTAGAACCGATGTTCTGTATGTATCAGACCCGTGTGAGCATTTGGACCAAGGAGAAGAAGGGGATGTGGGTTTCTTTCGAGGGGTATTTAAGTCATTTGCTACATCAAAAGTGCGTAAGATGCTTATCAGAAGGGGTGCAAAGTTCCACCCCACGGAGTTTTGCCCGTATTGCAAGCAGAAGCTGTGGAGCATGTTACAAGCTAAGATGATCCCGCAAAGTGCCAGCTGTAGGTTGGGTGCGTATGAAGATTGCATCGAGTATTATGTATGCCTGAATGGACATGTTCTTGGCGTTTGTACCCTCTTGCCATTGTCTGATTCAGAAGAGGTGTCTGAATTGGATTGATCTGACATCCTAACGGTTCATTCAGGTAAGCATTTGCTAAATTGCTAGAAAGTTTGCATAATCACAAAATTAACCATGCTAAATGTAAACTTATATGGATAGAGGAAAATTCAAATGAGAACCTAAAATATTTGAGAACCTAGCAACTAATTAAAAAAACCAAACCAAACCAACAAACCCCGTATATCTCACCCAGAGGTGGGGTATGGGAGAGTTGGGATGTACATAGATATGACCTCTACCTTAAAGAGTACCCAAGAATCAACTATTTAATGTATTATTCATGATGAATAACCCTGAATAATCATGAAAATTATTCGTCATGAACATTATTCATCATGAATATCATGTATTTTCATTATGAATATCTATCACGACATTCATGATGAATAAAACATGAATGGTTGGTTATTCGGTTCTCAAAATATTTATGGTTCTCATTTGAACCTGCCCGTATATGGATAATGTAGCAAGGATGATTTTGTTTATATTTAAGCATTTTTGTTTCTTACTTCTTACAGCCTCTCCTTTCACTTCAAAGTTTATTTAAATACATCGTGGCTTGTTTTATCTATTAACTTTCTTCAAAATCTAACTGAATAATACCAACGATCCAGATCTGTTTTGATTTTATGCTATTTCCTTTTTCGACTTTTAGCACCAACATATGGTAGATTGCTAATGAATTCTTTAGGGCATGTAATTTATGATCTACTTTATGGAAAAATATTCCGGTTTTGTATTTTTTTCAGTTAATTTTCAACATGTCTTTTTAGGCCACTTATACACTGTTATCTAGCTTATCAACTAGTTCTTTTACCTTGCATGACCGACTACTTTATCTTATCAGCTAGTTTGCTAAACATAGCCTTAGGGTGTGTTTGTTAGCAGTTTAATGAGCTTAATAGTGCTTAAAGCTTCTTCAGTCAGCTATATATGACGGTTTGGTAGTGACTTAATGATATAAAAAGTTGCTTATTCACTAAGTTTCTAGAGCCTTCTTTATGCAGAAAGCCAATTTTTTTTCCAACCTTCACCCTCCTAATTAAAAAGACACTCCTTCCATCTATGAAAAACCCACCCAAACAAAAATCTTCCCAATATACACATAGACAATTTTATCCATATAGGACTTAATGAGAAATCAACCAAACAACCCCTTAGTAGGATTTGTGTTGGAGTCTCTAACTAATACTCTTTTATGGTGTCGGGTTTTATGCAATCGGGTGGGGGACAACCGCTTTACTCCTTACAGTAGAGGTCAGGTCTGCGTACATCTCACCCCATACCCTACATTCGAGTGGGATTTACTGGCCTGTTTGGTTTGGTGCTTAAATCTTTTTATATATTTAGTTCAAGATTGTTCTTTTTTTCTTTTTTTTTTCATACGGTTGCGTGTTTCTTGGTCAGGTATTTGATTGTGGACTACCTGTTTGGTAAGGATCATAAGATGGCATTGCATTGCATGCAATCGGCTGTGTTTTTTTCAACTTGTTATTCAGTCCAAGCCGCGATCGTTTATTGTTATATGTTGTTTGTAGCAATACAACTGTTTTCTCGAACTTATGGTAGTAGATGGATCCGAAAAGATGTTGGTATAAAAAGGTTGATGATGGCTGTGTGCTCCGGTGTACATGATGTTTTATATTTATGTGTATTTTTGGAAGCGAATGCAGATTCAATGTGTAACGCGGTTATACGCTCACTCTCTCTCTCACTCTCGCTCGGGGTAGTACAACAGATGAATTGCTTTCGACTCTATATACCTGCACACACTGGTCGTTACCATATTTTTTCAACCTTAGATATGGAATAATATTTGACTAGGGACAGTTGGAATACATTATTTTAAGGCGGGGACATGTATATATATTCCTGATGGTCGTGTTTGTTTTATTTGGTATGCAAATGGGACGTTACAAGACTGGATTGGGCGAAGGTGAGGTTGGAGGGTGAAAGATTTGTTTTACATCTTAGCGTTTTAATTTGACATGGGTAGTTCAGTAATTTACCTATTCCGATGCACCACCTGTGAGAACAAAGTTTACCAAACAAGAATCTTGCTTTATGAAAATGTTAGCTTAGGCATTAAGCCAAATGGTTGGTGACCGGCTTAATGAAACGTTGGTCTAAAAGTTACTTGTACCAAGAAAAATTCCTTTCGAGATCGTTTAACTTTTCGGTTAACCGTTGAACACTTTGTTAAGAGTATCAGATTGGCTAGACCCGAATTGGGTACTTTTTTTTTCTCTCGATATATGTTTCAACTTGTATTCTCTATTCAATGGCTTTTTAAGAGAGTAGTTTAATGGGAGGAAAGAAAATAAAAGAATTTATAACAATTAAAATTATTTATAAAATTACATATTTACCCGTCAATTACATTCCACTACAAAATTTTCAGACTTTTCTTATGCTCACATGATAAAGTAAGTTACACCTACCTGGTATGTGTTTAGTAAACAGTCTTTAAATTTAGTAATTATATGAATGATATGATTCAGAGCCAAGTCTTAAATCATGTATGGTATATAAAAAAGGACATGATGAGACAAAAGTGACTATCACTGCCCACCACCATCACCACCGATGTCGATCGCCACAATCCACCATCTTCACTTCCTTCACAACCACCATCACCTACCAATCACCAATACCACTACAACCATTGTCGTTGCAACAATTTTTCCGTGTCTTCGTTAATTGATAAAGATCTTCTAAACTAAATAAAACGTAATTTTTTCTTTGTTCAAATCAGGTTTTTTAAACTACCATCAATTACATCATAATTTTCGTTCAAATTTGGTGCTATTATATATATAAGGAGAGAGAGAGTGCGGAGGTTTACTTTACAAATCACGTTATTTGTACAAACCGTACAAACCTCATTCAACCAATCGTAATTTTTCATTTTGTTCATCTTTTTGTAATTTATGAGAGGTTGATTAATCATTTTTATAGTGCAGGGTGTTAATCATGGATATTATCATCTTCATTAATATAATTTTAGAGAAATACATGAAACAGTTTCATTAAGATTTCATTAAGTATTACATGAAATAATTTCATAATCATATATGAAACAACTTCATCAAAAAAAAATATTATATGTAACAATTTTACAATATTAAACAATTTCATGAAAAAATTTCATAAGATTAAACAATGAAATCGACGGATGAAGATGATTTGCACGATTTGTACAAATTGGGTGGTTTGCATTTGATCACTCCTCCCCCCCCCTCTCTCTCTCTCTCTCTATATATATATATATATATATATATATATATATATATATATGTTTCTATGTATAAAAAAAAAATTATGTAAAATGTTTATAAATTAAATTATCTAATTACTTGTGTTAATTATAATTATTACATTACTATATAAAATCATCAAATAGCTTTCTGGGGTAATTTGTCTAATTCTGTCATGTCCAGTCCTAGTCGTACCAAACACCAGACAGACATTTGTTCTGTCAAGACTCAAGTCCTACTCTCTAGTTGCCTTGTGCGGTTCTATCATATCCAGTCATGTCCAATCATGTCTGCATATCAAATACTACCAAATCAAAACAAGCCATACATCACTTGTATTGGAAAATTCCTGAGTAAATTACATTTTGTCTTTCTATTTTTATTATTATTTTCATCTTTATGGTTTATAATTTATTTTTATTTTGGTTCTTATAGTTTAACGTTTATCGTTGTTTTCGTTCCTATAGTTTAAAACTAATTGTTGTTTTTATTCGTCATACTTAAATGTAGGAGTTGTCTTAACGGTTTGTTTACCAAACACTTATAAGAACAAGTGTTATCAAGTCAAATTATCTTATCAGATGAATATGCCAACGGTTAATAATCTTACCTGCTAAGAGCGAAGACAAAGACCAAAAATATTACCCAGTAAATGACGGCGACGACTCTTATTACGGTTAGCGCTTACCGGGTAAATTGTAGCATATGATACAATTTTATTAGACTAAGGGGCTGTTTGGCAATTGCTAAATGGTTTTGTGCAGAATCATTAAGTGGTTAGAATGATTAAGAGACTCTCATTATGATAATACAAAATGAAATATAATTGTTTACAATGAAATTATGGCTCCTAATGGTTAAGGGAGGCCTATGATACAAAATCATTCAGAGGGTTTTAGAACCATTAAGAGACAAACTTTTTTTTTGCCAAACAAGATTCACCTCWTRACGATTTAGAGATTGTCTCTTAATGGAACTATTAAAAGGTAAACAAACAACCCTTAAAATTTTACTCGATAAGTAAATAACAATGTTGAATTTTATCAAATAAATACTTATCTGGATAAACATTTGATAAATGGTACACTGGGAACAAAAATACGTGAACGAAAATCTTAATTTTAAAATTATAGGGTTGAAATCCGTAATGTGTAACAAAACCACATGGATGAAATTCTTAAAAGCATCTGAATCATTCAGAGTCAAGTCAAACGGGTCATAACTACATTCGGAACACACCCCTCTTCTTACTCTCTTCAGCTATTCCAAACACCGCGGTCTCTTTCTGTCTATCGTCTCTCCTGTCTAAGAGATCTGCAGGTATCTGAAAGTTTGAATCTTGATTATGTTATTGTGTTTCTTGACAGTGTTTGTTGCTGTTTCTAGTGTAGTATGTAGGTCTTATGATGTTAATACAGTAGGATGGTGTGTTTGATTTCTTCAATTTAATTACTGGTACTTTTCGTTCTTCTACCTCTTGTTTAAATTTATTTGATCCCACTACCTTTGTTTGTTCGATTTTTCCAACTTCATGCGTTAAATTTCTTCGTTTTTTTTTTTTTTTTGCGAACACCAAGTGTTCGATGAAAGTTTCCAATGAGAAAAAGTGAAGTTAGAAACTTCTGTGGTTTTCAGTGTTTACCCCTATTTGTACCATCAGTTTGGAATTTGTGTGTATGATATTGCTTCAGACAGTGTGAAGCAATAGAGGTATCATATTGTGTTCTTTGTTACAACTATTTGGTCTACAACATATTTTTATGTCAATGTGAAAAGCCAATAGAGGTGTTACACTAGTTAATGCATCACACAACGGTTGAGCACATATTGACGCAAGTGTTGATCTTATTCCAGTTTGGTTAGGGTATTACCAACATGTATGTTAAGTATATTACACATCTGCTGATTTAATTTCATATAGGATAAAAAAATCCACACACCCATATCACAATAAATAAGGAACTTTCAGGGATGAACGTTTCCAACTGTTCCAGGTGCTCTGTCATCCATCAAGTTAATCAAACTGTTGGGATAATAAACCGCGGTTCAAATACAAATTAAGACAGGTTGAATTTCCAGTATTATATGGATTAAACTACCAACAAGAAGAAAAAAAGTTATTTTACATGCTTTTTACTCCTTTATATTAGTAGTGGTCCATCCATGCAAAGTGGAGATGGTTTCTTTAGTGATTTTGCTTTGTATGTTTCACACCCATCATGAAACTTCCATTCAAGTTAAGAAGTATGTGTAAGCGATCACGTATTTTCTATTGTCGACACGATAGAATGTTCATTAGAGGGGAGATATCTTTCTTGAACATAGGAGTGATCTTCATGTCATAAGGGGGAAAACAAAGAAAATGCTACACGGAGAATGGAAGGTTATATGGGATCTTCTATTACACCATTAGGCTGTAAGTGATATTGAAGGAAAATAAAATGCAACCTTCCGGACGAACACCCATTCTCCAAACATCATCTTGAAGTAATGTGCAAACATGATCCTTGAACCTAATAATTACACTGATAAAGAACGAGTTTGATGGTGATTTTGTGGTTGTAGTAGATTATCGACTTAATCCTTTTGGCAGTTTCAAACTTTCAATACATTGGCCCACAATTATTATGTTTGAAATAACAAACAATAATCGTTCCCTAGCTTCTTCTTTTCTGCCTCTATGTACCTTTGATAATTTTCTTTCAAATTATTTGATTATACATATATGTTATATGCACTTGATGAATTATCTGTATTTAGTATTAAACCTCTTAAATCAAGTCTACTCCAATTGTGTATGATTTCTAACTTGAAATTTGTAGTTAGGAAACATGCACAAGTGTAAAGAGAAGGAATGCTGGGAAATCATTCACATCCCAGATAAATCACCCTTCCCTCCCCACCAACAACCCACCGGTAACTCCTTCAACCTCTATTTTTTAGCGTGTGTATTGTCCGTCATTTGATGAATTTGATTATATTGTGCAGTCAAAGTTTATGCTGCTGTCATTGATCCTAAGCTCACCAACACTCTTGTCAGGTATGTGCACACTCTCTAATACCTTCTTTGTTCGACTTTCATTATTGATTGTTAACCAAATTTTGAGATCAATTGAAACTTCTGCTGTTCAGGAAGTTAAATCAGATTTTGCCACTAGAAAATCTACGTCATGTCAAACGGGTGCGAAAGCAATGCCTTGATGGAGGTTTTGTTCTACCCTCTCATAAAAATAGATCCACTAGGCATATTTGATGCATGCATAGCATATATATAATCTTCGGCAAGCACCTTATTTGTTATTATTTGATACTTTGGAAGCATATCTTGTGGTGTATAAACTTCATTGAAAATACAAGCCCACTTTAGAATTTTCGTTACGAAAGATAAGAACAGTCATTTTGATCTTAAATTTTATTATTTGATCACTAAAGTCAAATTGTGAGCTTTTCTTTCTTATATTTTTGTATCCCTATCATAACAGCTCACGGCTTTATGTAAGTAGGAGAGTTACTTTGTATGTAGCTACTCAACGATTATGAAACTACTGGTTTCAAGAGGGTATGGTAAATGTCAGATATCTTCATTTGTGGTGGTTTTTTATTTTGAAAAGAGGTAAAACGACAAAGTTGCTTGTCATATAAAAAATTAGCATTGATAGCATATAACTTAACAATAGTTTATATGATATTTAATACGTATACATGCCATTAAAGCATATCTAACCATTTGATTAGTTAACGGCCAACATCTAAATTTAAAAGGAATGTAACTTAATTGATTCAACTTCACAAACACTTCACAGTTAACATGCCTTCGGTTTGCACATATATATATATATAGAGAGAGAGAGGGGCGGGGGGAGGTTCAGGGGAAAACCCCAAAAAAAATGAAACCGAGGAACATCCTAGTAACCATTCATCTATATGATATGCACATGTGCATACAAGTAATTGAAGTTGTTTCTTGGTTTTTATGCACGTGTGCATGTTATGCACATGTACATACCGGAACAATTACTTGTATAGTTGTATTCACATGTGCATACCGTGTAGATGAATGGTTACCAGGGTGTTCCTCAGTTTTCCATTTTTTGCGGTTTTATACTTGAACCTGACCCTATACACACACACAGAGATATATATATATATATATATGTGTGTGTGTGTGTGTGTGTATGTATATTGTTATTGTTATATATGCTGTATCTCATGTTTCATTTTTCAACAGGATCCACTCGTTTATCGGTGATCTTATGTTTAGCTGGTGAAAATGATAGCCAATCGGATATCACACCTCAAGAGGTGGTCGAGCTAATAGATTCCTATCAGTTGGAAACTTTCATTACAAAAGTAGGTTGTTTTATTTATGTAGTCAGTTTCTATACTATTGGTCGATCAAAGATGTATTTTGCTGTAGTGGAAGGTCAGTTATTGACTTATTTTTTTCTGCTAACGTCAGGTATGCAGATATGCTCCAGTATCAAAAGAAGAATGGGAAGAACAGTGCAAGATATGGCCAACTTCTTATCATCCACCAACCTAGTATTTAACCTTAACTCACCCGCTGTTTATCTATTCATGTCCCATGTTCCCTTTTCATCACTTGTTCCACTACATCATATCTAAATGATTCACTTGTATGCTAGATTAAGGCACAATGTGCAAAGTTGGAAGCTTTGTTTCAAATAAGTCACTTGGTACATTCCAATCCTTAAGTTTTGGGGGGAAATTTTCGCCAAAATAATTGTAGTCTTGCACGAAGGTACAAAGTGCAATAAATATAATAACATAAAAATCTTAGCAATTAGGTTAACATAATAACAACCACACATTTTGATATTACAGAGAGCAGAAAACTAAGCCATGTTGTTGTAGTTATAGGCCCCAAATATTCAAAGACCTCAACATAAACGAAGCCTTATACGTTAAATAAAAACTATTGATGATCAAAATAAGTGTAACACGTAACATCGTTCCGTTTCATATACTTTAGCTAACTAAAAATAAAAAAATAAAATAAAATGGTGGTTGTGGGTTCTCTGATCTTTAATTCACCTCAGCTGCATTTTTTAGCATTTCCTGCAAGAATACAAAAAATAGTAACTGAAAATTTACAACTCAACAAAGATAAAGGCTCTTAACAATTTGCAGGAACGGATACAAGTAAGTTTGACCAATAAAAGTAAATATATGTTTCGTAATGTCTGATACATGGCTAAATTTATAGGATGCTGCATATACACAAAGTACATCACACACATTTGTTTCATGTCACTATAGTACCACTGCTTATGCAAAAGGTACATGGCACCCAGATGATGGGTGGTTCAAGGGATGTTCGCGGTGAAGTTTGGTACGGTTTTGGGCCAAACTGCACTGCATATGTGGCTTGAGAATTTTTCCAAACCGCAAACCACACCGCATAAATCTCAAACCGCAAAAAACCGCACAGCAAAATGAGGTGTGGTGCGATGCGGTGTGGGCGGTTTGGATGAACACCCCTATGGGGTGGTCACATGATCATAAGTTGGAACAAGAACATGTATACAAGGTTTGGATTGATGAATAGTAAAACTAGGGATTGTACCACATAAAAAAACACACTGTAATTTCCAAAACATCAACTAGTATTCAAATACCATTAAATCGACATCACAAACTCAAACTCAAACTCAAAATCAGCAGGAATCTTTGGTTAGAAAAGAGGGACCAAGGATCCAGGCTCTTAACTCACCACCTAATCTAGTAACCACAAGAGGTGACATGCACTCCAAGATTGAGTTCTTGTTAGCAGCTAGAATCAAGGCCTAGTTTACAATTATGTTAGTAGAATATGAAGTTTATAAAATTAGAGTTGTAAGATGACTATATATATATATATATATATATATAGGGTCAGGTTCAGGGGAAAACCGCAAAAAAATGAAAAATTGAGGAACACTCTGGCAACCTTTCATCTAGATGGTATGCACAAGTACATACAAGTAATTTGTAAGCAATTTGTCTGGTATGCACATGTGCATAACATGCACTCTCGCATAAAAACCAAAAACAACTTCAATTACTTGTATGCACATGTGCATATCGTTCAGATGAATGCTTATGAGGGTGTTCCTCCGTTTTTCATATTTTTGGCAGTTTTCCTTTGAACCTTCCTCTATATATGGGTTGGGTTCCAGTGAGAAGGAGAGTTAAGGTGAGAAGCGTAACTGTGTAAGAAGAGATCTCCACCCACGGATGCACATTAGGATGAGATACACCGTCCCCATATCAAGCACGATTCATGGGTGGGTTTGAGATTAAAGGTGATCAAGGCTCCAGATTACTTCTTACGCTTCTCACCTTAACTCTCCTTCTCACATGATCCTTCACCCTATATATATGTATGTATGTATATGTGTGTGTATATATATATATATATATATATATATATATATATGGGAAGTTATTGGAAAGAAAATCCACATTCATGTCCTGTTTCATAAATCCGATTCTTTGACAGCAGCTGTAAACTAATATTTTGGACAAGCAACATTTCATTAAATTAAGAAGAATATAGAACAAGTACCAGAACTAACATTCATGAATCACATAATCCTGTCCTGACTTCTATTTGGATGTGTGGTTCAAACTGTAGCAACATCAGTGGCATTACTGGGTTTTCGGAGGAAGAATCACACTCCGTTTGCACCTTCATGAAGCTAGCACTTGAATTGGCAAAATGCAAAGGCCAGGTAAATTTTCGGTTTATATCCCAATTCTCAAGTATTTTTCTAGGTTTCTACCGTCTTATTAGGTTATTACTACACAATCAAGACTCAAGAGTCACTTAGCCTTATCCACCACTTGAATTACTCTCCGTCCGTCTCAAAATAAGTGTCCACATTTCTATTTTTGTTTGTCCCAAAATAAATGTTCACTTCCAAAAGTAAGTGTCTATCTTCCAATTCTACCCTTATGTTTATAAGATTTAGAAATTCATTACTCTTATCTATTATTAAGGGTAGTTCACTAAAAAGTGTAGTAACTACATTTCTAATATCATGTCTTTCATTGTGGAAATTTATTTTGGGACGGGGGAGTACCCTTTTAGGGGAGATTTAGAATTTACAATTATTTTCAACTTTTGTGTTAATCGTGAAAGTTCATAAATATCCTCTCTGCAGATGGTGAATGCTGCTGTTATCGTTGATCCTTCAACCAACCAGGTGATCGCCAGAGCATGTGATCAGGTCCACTCTTGCAGCTGTTCCATAAATCATGAAGTCACTACTTCCACGTCATTTGCGTATAGAACTCAAAATCATGATAATATGCTTTTGAATTCTTCAGCTACAGAACCCAAGTTGTTATATCACGGGGGTTCTTGTTTAAATCCGTGGCAATGGTCCAATCAGAGCTCATGTGGTAGCTCTTGTTCGTGGCATCCGTTAAGGCATGCTGCTGTTGTTGCTATTGAACATTCTGCCGCCAGAGATAGACGTCTTTTTCCTTGCAGTGGACTTGCTGCAGATGATCTTGATGAAACAGATCATTTGCGGGCTGATTTAACGTGTCCGTCTTCAAAGAAACAAAAGACCAAATCTATGCAAGTAAGATCATTGCTTCTTGTTTTTGTTGTCTCCTAGGATTGTATGCCACTGTTTTCTAATGACGGTGGTTATTGCCAGCATCTTAAGTAAGCGTAATATAGAATTGTCTGATTAAATGATATACATATATGTGTGTGTGTGTGGCAGGTACCCGGGAACCGTCCACAGCCCAACACGTGGCATATTCATCAGGAATATGGACGTGTTATTCATCATGAATGTCGCAACATATTGATCATGAATTTATCATGAATGTCGCAACATATTCATCATGAATTTGGATTCATGATGAATTACACTTCCATATTCATCATGAATTTGGATTCATGATGAATTACACTTCCATATTCATCATGAATGTGTTATTCATGATGAATATTCATCCCGAAGAGGGACATGTGGTGCACTGTGGACAATTCCGAGGTTCCTAATCAATTTTGGGTTCCTAACGGAACTTCCCTTGTGTATACATATATATATATATATATATATACACACACACATATATATATATATATATACACACACACATATATATATATATATACACACACACATATATATATATATATATATACACATATATATATATACATATATAACCATAAATTTTTTGAGAACATGGGAACCAACTATTTCATGTGTATCCATGATGAATAACCCCGAATAATCATGAATATCGTGCATTTTCATAATTCATGATATCATTCATATTTATCATGAATATCATATATTTTCATTATGAATATTTTCCACCGTGAAATCTATCAGGACATTCATCATGAATAAAGCATGAATAGCTGCTTCCCAAGTTCTCAAAATATTTAGGGCTCTCATGTGTGTGTGCACATATTTATACACATATGTATAGGTTGATATAGGCATAATAGGAGATCAGGATAGACAGATGTTTGGGTATTTATTTCCATTGGAAGAGTGGGCAAGGATTCAGATGGGAAATGGGGCAAAGCCCCCATCCCAAAAGAAAAAGCCGCTAGAGGTGAAATACCCAAAACACCCTTATACGTTCAATAGGTTCTATACTTGTGGCTGTGTTATCCATAAGAAAGATATAACTTGCCATAGAATCGCCCTTAAAATGGAAATGTTTATGATTTTGTTTGATTACATGTAAATAAATATTGTAAAGTTTCTCATGGGTTATTATGAAATGTGATTACAACGTTCTTAGGTAAAGGACGACGACGAGCTCAACTCTCACTCGAATGGCTGCCATCCCGAGTTAGCCCGACCATATCTATGTACCGGTTATGACATCTATCTTGTTTGGGAACCGTGTGCAATGTAAGTTCTTTAACTCGGATTTGTGTCGCCCACTTCCAAATTTTGTGTTTACTTATTTGCTCATACCCCTTAGATAATGAAATATTGTGGAACAAATCGACACCAAACCAAACGTGCCCAATATATCCCGCCCGGATGTGGGCCCTGTGGGTAGGATGTATGCAAACCTGACATTTACCCAAATGAGTAGAGCGGGTGTTTCCGTGAAGACCCTTGTTTGTGCAAAGTCTGGGAGAAAAAAAGGAGACCATACGGAACTTTTTTAGTCCTGTGTATGTTTTTCGTTACTCTATGATGGAAATTGGACTTTTTTCCTGACGTTCTTCCATGGCAGGTGCGCGATGGCACTCGTTCATCAAAGAGTTAAGCGCATTTTCTACGGTTTCCCCAATCCAACTGCTGGTGCACTTGGAAGTGTTCATAGATTACAAGGGGAGAAAAGCTTAAATCACCATTATGCTGTATTCAAAGTTATGTTGCCTGAAGAAATACACCTTGATGAAGGTAAATCACTAGTTTTAAGAAGTCTTTGATAAGTCGTAAAACCGAACACGCCATCAAATGTACCGAGAGCTGGGGCGGATTCAGTATTAGCGTAGCGGGTGTCGGTGCCCCGCTCTATTGTTCTGACGCAATGGAAAAAGTTTTAGGGGGCGTGCACCCACTTTAATCCGATGTGTGTTTCATTAAGTTAACAAAAATTTGCTTTGCATTTCGTAGTATAGGTTACAAGTTCGAACCTTTTTTATCAGCAAAAAACTATTTATATGTCAGTTTTAGTTAGTCCGTACGTTTTCTGATTAATATTGTTTTATTTTGTATTATGTTAAGGGCAAATTGCATGAAAAAGTAACGGTTATTTAACTTGATTCCTATATTGGGTAACATACTTTCAAAACTTTCATTTTGATACCTAAAAATGTAAAGTTTTAAACATTTAAGTACCTCGGGTAACCGGTTGAAGCATTAACCAGTTATCGTGCTGATGCGGTATCTAATTCAGTATTATTTGCTGTGTGATGTGGATTTTTTTTAATCTAAAATTAGTCTTCAACCGGTTACCTGGATACTTACATGTTTAAAACTTTACATCTTAGGTACCAAAATGGAAGTTTTGAAAGTACGTTACTTTTTCATGCAATTTGCCCTTATGTTAGTTATATTGTACCCTGCTTGAAAGTGTATTTCTGGATCCGTCTTTGCATTGGATGCCCGTTGTCTCTTCGACTTTGTGAGAACCATCAAATCCGATCGTTCTTATGCGATCACATATTAAAAGACACAAACACATGTATAAGAATAAAAATATCGAGGTTTTTGAGCAATATGTATATAGACGTATAATCATATACAAATCAATTTTCATGTATTGTTTCACATATGAAATAAATGAAAATGCAGTGTTTATATAATATTGTTCATGTGCGAAACATTCAAAAAATTATATATTAAAATCAAACAAAGTAGTGCTTGTTATCATACAGACAAATAGATAGTAGGTAAAGCTTCAAGTTTTGTCCTCTTATTATCTTTTCATTAATTGATTCATATTTTGGGTAATATACTTTTAGAATTTTTATTTTTATACATAAGATGTAAAGTTTTAAACATTTTTGTTGATATATATTAATTTATTGTATGAGTTAATTAATTTGGAGGAAGAAAACATCGTAATTTCGTAAACCCATTGTTACCAGCCTATATTTATTTACTAGAAAGGTATTTGTGTAATGCAGCGAGATACATTTTCATTTTAGTGTTTCGTTTTATTTTTTGTCTATATTGATATAATACGGTTTATGTGGTTTTGAGAAAGATATTGTTTTTACTTTTGAATAAAAGTAAATTTGAAATTTTAATAAAAATTTTGAAAAATATATCGATATTAATATCAAATTATTATTTAAAAGTTCTCGTTTTCTTTTTACAGTTTTTTAAGTTCAATTTATTATTATAATTTAATTTAAGTCTAATAGCAAAGTAATTTATTTTTAATTTAACAATATAAATTTTATAAAGATAATGGTTCTGTTAGAACTCAATTGATTATCTTAATTATATTTTAGATTTTTTATATTTAAAATGAAAGATTTATCTTATATTTGATTATTTTTATTTATAATTAGTTATAAGAATTTAAAAATGGAGTTGTAATGAGTTATATTTATACACAATTTGCTTGTAATATTAAATTTTAAATAATATATCTATACTATATTATAAAGTATTTGACTAAAACTCTTAAAAACAATTTTTTATGCATAAAATATTGTTTATTGATGTATATTACTTGAAATTCAAGATTACAAGTAGGATATGCATGAGTACATCTTACTAAAGTTTCATGCTTGAATTCGTGTAACTAACTGCGGATAAACATAATAAAATATATGATAAACATCATTTTAAATATAAAAAACTAAAATATAATTAAGATAATTATTAAGTTCTAACAGAAAGTTTAATTATTATCTTTAGAAAAAAATTATATTATTACTAAATCTAAATTAAATAGTTAATTTGATACTAACATCGATTTGTTTATTTTCAAATTTATATTTTATTAAAAAAATAAAACATTACCGTTTTCTCAAAACCATATAAAATCGCATTATATCAATAAAGACAAAAAATAAAAATTAAATATTATAATTGATATTTATCTCGTTGTATTACACAAATACTCTTCTGATATTAATATAAAGTATATAAAAAATTGTTTTTAAAAGTGTTTGTCAAATGTTTTAATATGCATCAATAAACAATACTTCGTGCATAAAAAATTGTTTTTAAAAGTGTTTACATGATAATTTATAATATAATATTGATATATTTACAAGTATATGTCTGTGTATGCTTTAGAAGTCGATAGATTCGTGTTTACAAGTCTACTCTATAAGGATTGTTGTTGACAATGGAGAAACGAGTTTCCTGAACTTTTCTTGATCGTTCTTCCATCCATCTATATATATATATACAGACCAATTTCATAATTATCGATTTTCACCGTCTTCTTCAAATCGAGATGTCCACAACGACCGCAAAACCGCAGCGATCGCCCGAGGAAATCGAGGACATAATCCTACGAAAAATCTTTCTTGTAACCCTAGTCGATTCAATGGGGAATGATACACGAGTTGTTTACTTGGAGATGACGGCAGCTGAGATTTTGAGCGAAGGCGGAGAATTGAGACTTTCTAGGGATTTAATGGAACGTGTTCTTGTTGATCGTCTATCAGGTAATTTCACTTCTGCGGAACCCCCTTTTCAATACCTAATTGGGATTTTTCGTCGCGCTCATGAAGAAGGGAAGAAGATCACTAATATGAAAGATAAATCAGTTAGGGCTCAGATGGAGTTAGTTGTTAATCAAGCTAAGAAACTGGCTGTTTCTTATTGTAGAATTCACTTAGGCAATCCCGATATGTTCCCTGATTCCGAAAGAACTAAATCTAATGTTTCGCCATTATTGCCTTTGATTTTCTCTGAGGTTTCTAGTTCACTTGATGCTTTTGGTGGTAGTAGTGGTGTTGCCTCCTGTCCTCCTGGATTTTTGGATGAGTTATTTAGGGATTCTGATTATGATACCATGGAGCCGATACTGAAGCAGTTGTATGAGGATTTAAGAGGGATTGTGCTCAAGTGTTCTGCTCTTGGAAACTTTCAACAGCCATTGAGGGCTTTGATGTACTTGATAAGTTTTCCAGTTGGTGCTAGAGCTTTAGTGAACCATCAATGGTGGATTCCTAAAGGTGCGTATTTGAACGGACGGGTTATTGAAATGACAAGCATCTTGGGTCCATTTTTTCATGTTAGTGCTCTTCCTGATCAAACTATTTTCAAGGGTCAGCCTGATGTTGGGTGAGTTTGAAGTTGTTTTCCTCTTTATGATGTTCTTGATTTTTGTTATTCTCGTGGCGTTATTGTATGAGTTTCCTTTCTTATAATGTTCTTGATTGATTATGCAAGCGGAGGGTCTTCTTGGAAACAGTCTCTCTGCCCATGGGACAGAGTTAAGTTCTGTGTACATCTTAGCCCAAGACCCTACCTTTGGGTGGGATTTACTAGTTCTGTTTGGTTTGGTTCATGCATATTTAGATTGATTGTATGAAACTTTGATATCTTTGAAACGTGCAGCCAGCAGTGTTTCTCAGAATCATCTACACGACGCCCTGCTGACCTTTTATCATCATTCACGACAATTAAAACCGTCATGAACAACTTATATGATGGCCTGGCAGAAATTCTTAGGTCCCTCCTTAAGAACACAAGCACACGAGAGAATGTGCTCCAGTATATTGCAGAAGTGATCAACAAAAACGCATCAAGGGCTCATATCCAGGTAAACAATTTATTTGAGGATAGCTGTTTCTAGGCAATAGCAAGCTCTATGGGAAGTTGTGAAGTCTTATGCTTGACCATAAAGTATTTATCAGATTGCGTGCCGAGCCAATTGTATTTTTACTTTTTAATTGTAGTATATGATACCTTTTGTAGCATGGTATTCCTGAATATGGAAATCTTCTTAAGAACAGTTTCTACTATTTTGGCTGGTTGCTATTGTTGACCGTCACATTAATAAAACCCTGTATTTGATAACTTTTTGTAAATGCAATTTCTAATTTAGCATGAGACTCGAAGAGAATACTTATTGGCATCTTTTATAAGAATACAAGATAGAGTGGAACTGTATTTTTGTCCGCCTTAATTCTTAAACGTCCACGATGAAAAAGGCATACATTTTTAAAAATGTACAACTATTAATTTTTTTAATTACCTAAATGACAATTTTACCCTAAACAATAGAGAAAGTTGTGAATTTCTCGATATAATGATTATGGGTAGAATTGGAAGGTAGGCACTTACTTTTCAAAGTAGACTTATTTTGCGACAAACTAAAATAGAAATTTGGACACTTATTTCGGGTCGGAGGGAGTATTTGTTTGACCTGATATGGTCCTGTGCTTTTCTCTCTCTTTTATTGTTATTATTAATGTTGGATAACTTGCCATTGGTGATAGGTTGATCCAATATCTTCTGCTAGTTCGGGCATGTTCGTGAACCTTAGTGCCGTTATGCTTCGACTATGCGAGCCATTTTTGGACGCCAATTCCTCAAAGAAAGACAAAATTGATCCTAAATACGTATTTTATGGTTCGCGTTTGGATTTCAAGTAAGATACTTGTTGACTGCAGAGGTGTCTTTCCCTCTTTCCCTCCCCACATCCCTAAACCGACATAGATTATGTGTGATATCTTGTATCATCAAAATATCATTTTGATTGTGATTCTTAATTCAATACAGAGAATTAACTGCCCTTCATGCATCTTCGGAGGAAGTTTCTGAATGGTTGAACAAAAACAACCCAACCAGTGCTAGCGGTGGAGAAAACATGTTGCTAGATTCCCAAGAAACTACGAGTTCTGGCAGTGGCACTGGTCTGCTACAGAATAACAACATGGCTTCAAGTCAACGTGATTCTACAAATTATTCTTTTATTTGTGAATGTTTCTTTATGACTGCAAGGGTCCTGAATTTGGGGTTGCTGAAAGCTTTTTCCGACTTCAAGCATCTTGTGCAGGTAATACATAAGCGAGTATCCGTTTTTATTTCCAGCCCAGAATTCCTTGGTTGATAAAAGGGTATGCATACACTTTTCACAAGTCGGTTCACGGAAATAACTGCTTTACTCTCTGGGGTAGAGGTTAGGGTCTGCTTACATCTTACTCTCTGAGGTTGGATATACTGGGTTTGTTTGGTTTGGTGTTGATTTACAAAAGGGTATGTATACCCTTCTCAAAAGTCGGGGGTCTTCACGAAAACAACCACTCTACTCTTTGGGGTAGAGGTCCGGTCTGCATACATCTTACCTCCGCAGACCCCACCTCAGGTGGGATATACTGAGTTTGTTTGGTCTGGTTTGGTTTATAGAAGGGTATGTATACTGATCTGCAGGACATCTCGAGATGTGAGGATAGTCTATCGACCTTAAAGACCATGCAGGAGCAAGCACCTTCACCTCGACTGGTGCAGGACATTGCTCGACTCGAGAAGGAAATCGAAGCATTTACACAGGAGAAACTATGTTACGAAGCTCAGATTCTGAGGGTAATCCATTCTTCTCTTTTTATGTGAGCTTAAATCCTTTTAAGCTAGATTAATGAGACTATACTTGTCTTTCTGTATCTTAGGATGGGGGACTTCTTCAACAGGCACTATCTTTCTATCAGTTAATGGTGGTTTGGTTGGTAGGTCGTATAGGCGGTTTCAAAATGCCGCTGCCACAATCTTGTCCTTTGGAATTCGCATGTATGCCTGAGCACTTTGTGGAAGATGTCATGGAGTTGCTTATTTTTGCTTCTCGAATCCCCCGAGCTTTGGATGGTGTCAAGCTGGTAAGAGCATCTCCGATGGTTTCTCCATTATTTTCTTCAAATGGAGAAGCAATAGTAAAAATCTCCAAAAAATTACATTTAACTCCCAAGATTTCTCCATTTTGAAGATTCCAACAGTAGTTATTAAAATATTCAATAATACAAAAAAGGTCATTCTGTCTTCCTCCATTTAGTTCTATTGGCAAGCTGGGAAGTTTTTTCTGGGGAAGGATAGATAAGTCATTCCCTCCATTTAATATTGGAGGATTCTCCAAATTTGTAGAATTTTTTCTTCTCTCCTACTTTTTCCATTTTGGAGAGAGTTCTTGGCGAAGCTGTTGGAGCAAAAAAGAGCCTAAAAACTCCCAAATCACTTTTTTCTCCATTTTGGAGGAGATGCGGATTATTGTGCCTTCTTCAGCACCATCTCTGTTGCTTATGCAGTTTTCTCCATCTATCTTGGCAGGATGATTTTATGAACTTTATCATCATGTTCATGGCAAGTCCAGAGTACATTAGAAATCCCTATTTAAGAGCAAAAATGGTTGAAGTCCTGAACTGCTGGATGCCTCGTAGGAGGTATTTTATCTATTTAATTCACCCAAATTCAGATACTTCTAGTATGGATATGCAGAACATAATTGGGTACTTATGGTCTCTTACATCTTGTGCATGCAGTGGCTCATCGTCTGTCACAAGTTCACTTTTTGAGGGGCACCAACTCTCAGTCCAGTATCTTGTGAAAAATCTTCTCAAACTTTATGTCGATATCGAATTCACAGGCTCCCACACACAGGTGATTGTTTCCCCAAAGGTTCATGATTAATTCCCCCCGGCCTGGGGGAATGAAAATCATAATGTCTTGGCGTGTTGTTTAAGTAAAATGTTTGATTATATTCTTAGCTATCTAAAGTGCACTTTAAAGACATAGATAGGAATCTGCGGGATTGAATCAATACCACCAATATATTTGTGTCGATGATGATAATAAACAATAAAATAGTATTCTTAACATGGATTTTTATGTAAAAAGGAATGTTGCAATTCTCATGGGAAATTTCAAAAGGGAAAGTGTCAAATACTTTTTCTTGGGATAGATTTGAGAACAACTTGCTCTCTCCCTCCCTCCCTCCCAAATAAGTGTCCACGTTTCTATTTTAGTTTGTCCCAGAAAAAGTGTCCACTGTCCACTGTCCACTCTTAAAGTGTCTACTTTCCAATTCTACCCTTAACTATGAGATGAAGAAGTTCATTACTCTCTCTATTATCAAGGCCAAAATTTGCATATAGTTAATTAAAAAGTGTAATAATTAGACATTTCCAAAACTATATATTTTTCATTGTGGACATTTATTTTTGGACGGGGGAAGTATTCCTTTTTATGCGTCTCATTTTGAAATGTGTTTCGGTCCCTTTATGAAGTTTAAAAAGTTTGTGAATCGAACTATATACTTCTTTCAACTTGTTGCGGCTTATCTTGAAGTATTAGACAAGTAGCCTGTTCCATTCTATACAATAAAACCCCTAATGAATTAGATGTTGAAATTTGTGCGTGTGCTATGTTGAGAAGCTAAAGAATGAGTTCCGCCTTCTGAATGTTGTGCAGTTCTATGATAAGTTTAACATCCGGCATAACATCGCCGAACTTCTAGAGTACCTTTGGCAGGTTCCTGTCCACCAGAATGCTTGGAAACAGGTAATTTCGAGTGTTGCTACTTATACTTACTTTTTTTAAGTATATAATATTTATTTATGTACGGGAAATACTCACGCACACTCCTAAATCCTCACGGTGAGGTTTGAACCCTTGACCTTCTAGGAGGCTGGGCTCTACCAGTAGCCCGCGTACCAGTGATCTAATGGCACTTTGGTTACTTATAAATACTTTGTGCAACTCATTAACAATTTAGGGCCTGTTTGTTAGTAGCTTAATGAGTTTGATGAGACTCACAGCTTATCCGGTCAGCTATACATGACTGTCTGGCAGTGGCTTAATGATATGGAAAGTGTCTTATTCAGTAAGCTTCTAGGGGGAGCTTTATGCAGAAAGCCAAAAAAAATTCAAACCTTTCCCTCCCAATTAAAAAAAATACAGGCTTCTTCCATCTATGAAAAAAACCCAACTAAAAACTTTGTCAACCTATACAGACAGATTAATCCACACAGACAGTTTTATTCATACACGACTTAATGGAAAACCAACCAAACATCCCCTTGCTTAGGCTGGGGTGTCCAGGACCAGCCGCTCTACTCTTTAGAGTTGAGGTTAGGGGTGGGTACATCTTCCCCACCTTCGGGTGGGATTAAATGGGCTCGTTTCATTTGGTATTAACAATTTACTTGTATTCGTTTAATGGGGTTCTCTGTTCCAGATTGCCAAAGAAGAGGAAAAGGGTGTTTATTTGAACTTCTTGAACTTCCTAATCAACGATAGTATCTTTCTTCTTGACGAAAGTCTCAACAAGATACTTGAACTCAAAGAGCTAGAAGCTGAGATGTCTAACACAGCCGAATGGGAACAAAGACCAGCACAAGAGAGGCAGGAGAGAACTAGACTTTTCCACTCTCAAGAAAATGTTTGTCTTTTCTCTACCCATTTGAAATATATTTGTTTTTATGAATACATATTAAGAAGGAGATTATGGCTGTTCTTTATATAGATTATTAGGATCGACATGAAGTTGGCTATGGAAGATGTGAGCATGCTGGCTTTCACCACAGAGCAAATTACGGCTCCTTTCTTGCTACCGGAAATGGTATATTTTCTATTCCGGTGCTTCCGCCCAAAACCTCATCGATTACTTTGTTTTAGTTCCTAAATTGTGTATCGTACGTTCAGAACCATCATTTTGGTACCTCAGATGTGACATCTCGAACATTTAGGTTCCTGTTTTACATCTGAGGGTTGAGAATGCATGAAAATGTAGCATATTTTGGTTTGATTCCTATTTTGTGTAACGTTCTTTGGTCTAAATGTTTGAGATATCACATCTGAGGTACTGAAATGAAGCTTTTGGAAATACCTTATGCAAAATAGGAATCAGACCCAAGTATATTGCATTTTCATGCAATTTACCCCTCAAATTTCTCTCATTCTTGGCTTACAAAGTTCATGCTTTTAATCGTGATTGCTTCTTTTGCAGGTTGAAAGAGTTGCGAGCATGTTAAATTACTTTCTTCTACAACTTGTGGGCCCCCAGAGGAAATCTTTAAGCTTGAAAGATCCGGAAAAATACGAGTTTCGCCCAAAACAGCTGCTAAAGCAGGTTTGTGTGTTCATAGTATCTTTTTTATCAAGTAATTATTCTGCATTACATATTTTATTTAGATCATTGATTCAATATGAGATATGGGAACCAAGAATTTCTGTGCATGTAAGGCTATGCGTGGCATACAAGGTAAAAGCTAGTTGTAGGTTAAGAGCATCTCCAACAGACTCTCCAAAATGGAGAAACTAGAGATTTTGGGCAAAATTTTGCTCCAACAGATTTTCCAAAACTTTTTTATAAAATGGAGAAAGCATGAGAGAGTGAAATTCCCAAAATTTGGAGAACTTCCCAAAAAATGATTACCATGAGAAATAAATTTTTATTATATTTCCACCAATAAGTAACGTTGATGTTAGATGTGTATGGGAGAGAAATAATATTTTATTACATTATAAAACGTTCTAATAATATAATTGATGTTGTAATATCTAAAATAGAGAATCTGTTGGAGTTGAATGTAATACTTTTTGGAGATTTTAAGTTTTGATTCTCCGTTTTGGAGCAATTTTGGAGAATCTGTTGGAGATTCTCTAATAAGCTAGTTGGTAGCTCTAATGAACTTAGTGATGTTTGGTAAAAAAAACTAGCTGATAAGCTAAGATGACGATGTAAAATGACCTTAAAGGACATGTTAAAAAATTAATTGGGAAAGTATAAAGAGCATAAAGCGGAAAAAAACCTGGAGCCTATTGAAACACGACTTGAAGTAGTCTTTATGGCTAACCAAACTATGACCTTTTGAACAAGCTCAAAAAATAAGCTAGCTTATGGTCGTCAAACATGGTCTAAATATATCATTTTCATGTGTAGATCTTTTACAACATAGCCATATGATAATATCTGCAAATTCTAATTATTTTCTTATCTTGAAGATCGTCAACATATATGTCCATTTGGCAAGGGGTGATAATGAGGACATTTTCCCAGCTGCCATTACAAAGGATGGACGGTCCTACAACGACCAGGTATTGTAGTAGATACTTTTGTAGTTTTCATCATTGTTAAACAACAAGCCGAAGCTGTTTCGTGGCCCATAGAAAGATCCCTTGATGTCATTATGGATCCTCTCTGCAGTTATTCACAGAAGCTGCAAATGTTCTTAGAAGGATCGGTGAAGATCCAAGAATTATACAGGCGTTTGATGATCTTGGTAAAAAGGCTAAAGCTGCAGCATCCGAAGCCTTGGATGCTGAAGCTATTCTCGGAGACATTCCAGATGAATTCCTTGATCCAATCCAGGTAACTTGCCGGTTTAAGGCAGGTTCAAGTGAGAACCATAAATTTTTTGAGAACTTGGAAACCAATTATCCACGCTTTATTTCATGATAAATGCATGATATTTATGATGAAACTACATGATTTTCATGAGGAAAATGCATGGTATTCTGGATGAATAGTATTGCATGTTATTCAGGATGAAAATGCATGGTATTCATGATGAATAGTATTCATGGTTATTGATCATGAATAATACATGGAATTGTTGGTTTTTGAAACCATAAATATTTTGAGAACTTAGGAACCAACTATTCATGCTTTAGTCATGATGAATGTCGTGGTAATTATTCATAATCAAAATGCATGATATTCTTGATGAATAATCTTTGATTATCAAGGGTTATATTCATCATGAATAATGCATGGAATCATTGGTTCCTCATTCTAGACTCTAACTATTTTGAATAAATCAAGAGCATCTTATCGAGATATGAATGTGGAAACTGCAGTATACTCTGATGAAAGATCCAGTCATTTTACCCTCTTCAAGAATCATAGTAGACCGACCGGTGATTCAGAGACATCTCCTAAGTGACGCTGTAAAATCTTTATATCTTCACTTATTCTTCAGAAATTTGGTCAATTTGATTACGGGGCAAAAATTGCATGAAAATGCAATGTACTTTGGTCATATTCCTATTTTGTGTAACGCACTTTCAGATGCTTCATTTTGGTACTTTAAATGTGACATCACATTTAAGTATCTAGTTTACATTTGAGAATGCATGAAAATGCAACATACTTTGATCTAAATGTTTGAGTATCACTACTGAGACACCAAAACGGAAGTTTTGAAAAATCGGACCAATTTGCCCTTAAATCTTTTATATCTTTTCACCTTTTCATTCCGAACATTTGGTCAATTTGATTACGGGGCAAATTGCATGAACATACTTCTAAAACCTTTCATTTTCGTACTTCATATGTGACATCTCAAACATTGAAGTATCTAGTTTATACGTTTGAGAATGCATGAAAACGAAACTGACTTTGGTCCAAGTGTTTAAGATATCACGTCTGAGGCACCAAAATGGAAGGTTTGAAGAATCAGACCAATTTGCCCTTGATTTTTATGGTTTCACGTCATTTTTTGACGATGGTATTAAATTGCAGACGGATCCTTTCAATCGTTCACATCTTACACCAGATATGCTGATTCCCGACACAGAACTGAAGCAGAAAATCGAAGAATTTGTAAGATCACAACAGCGGAAGCAACAGAATGAAGAGATGAGTATGCAAAGCAGCTCGAAATCTTCGATTCAATCACCAGACGGTACGAGGCCTCTGATTGATTAGGAAGTAGGTTTTTTTAGACTGTATTTTTCTTGTATTTATTAGCATCATCCAGTTGCTTGCTTGATATTGAAACAGGGTTCCTCTTTTTGAAACTTGTAAAATTTCAAATTATATTATAGACATTCAGGCTACGTTTGATGTTAAGAACAGAAACGAATCGAGTTGCATTTTGTACGATTGAATAATCCTCTCGTTGTGACGTTTCTGTTTCGTGTTAAATCAAGTTGCATTTGGTACGATTGAATGATCCATGTGTTGTGACGATTTGTTTCGTGTTAGATTACAGAATTTGGTTTTATATGTTGGGTTTTTTCATTGATCTAGAGGTAGAGCCAAATCGTGAAGTTGCTTTCGAGAATGAGGTAAACAGGTGAAGGAATTGAGAATGAGGTAAACTAAATTGCATATATGTCTCGTGTAGTCTGGTAGGGCTGGTAAGTGGAGTATGATTGTTAGCAACGTAATGAACTTAATGGGATTTACAACTTATTCGGTCAATTATACATGACTATTTGGTAGCAGTGATAATATAGAAAATCGTTTATTCAATAAGCTTCTAAGAGAAGCTTTATATAGAAAACCGTATTTTTTTTTCCAATCATGTCTTTCTAGAAAACTCTTCCAAACAAAAACTTTATCAATCTATATAGACAGATTAATCTAAACAAATAGTTTAATGAAAAACCAGATTAAATAAATGGTTTTATTCATAAATGATTTAATGAAAAACCAATCAAACAGCCTCTAAAGTAGGCACCTGAAATTTGGAAGATTTTAGGGTTTTAATCTAATATAGATATAGATAATTAAGTAATTTACTAATCGTATCTTATCTCCTAGTTTTTGTTTTACTAATGGGACAAAAAATGTGCAATTTTATCCCACTCAGTCCTATCATGCTCCAATTTAATGTCGTGCCAAACATGAAAGTAGTCTTGATCACAAAAGTCCTGGCTAGAAAAAGTCTCAATCTCGAGCCAAAAATGGTTCAACCGGGATTGCTCGTGCCAAAAATTGCTCCAATTCGTCCTAACTGGTGCCGATAAAGATGGGTCAAAGAAAAGAGCAATCCATTTGGACCGGACAATGAAATCATCAAGCCAGGCCAGACCAGACCAAACAGACCACCGGTCTCCAAGCAGTCCCCGATCCCAAAACAAGCAAGTCCAAGGCCTTATGCCAGTCTTGAAATTTGCATATGACATGTAACCAAACATCTTGTATCGGTTCCAGATTCATACCATTTTCGAGCCCAAAGAAAAGTATATCAATCCAAAATCGCTCACATATAGTGTACTATTTGACGAATTAGATCATGGAAACAACCTCGTTACCCCTTGGGATAGAGAAAAGCTGAGTAAATCTTTACCCTCCGTAGATCCCACTTCACACGGGTTCAATGGATTCGTTTGATCCAATGATTAGATTTTCTTTTGTCAAAGTTCGGATTCACTTCTAATCTTACGCTTTGCATACTCATGAGCAATGCTGATCGAACTCCTGCTATGCCGTAGAGAAAACTCCGCAAGTAATATTTGCTTCTCTTTTGGCGTTAGATCACCGTGACCACCCTGCATGTAAAAAACATCTGAGTGATCGACTTTTTAGAACCATTGTAGAAAACCAACCACTGTTTTTGCAAAATGCGGGAAAAAAAAAGAGTCAAATTTGCAAGATCAAAAGCATTTTCAGAGAAAGAGAGGTGTGCGCAAACATGACCGGAATGAACTGGACGGGCGAGAATAAGGTAGGCAAGTGAAAGAGTCATGGAGGTTTTAGTATTTTAGTTTGACATGGGTAGTTTAGTAATTTGTCAATCTTGTCATTTCTTGCTATTTTTGTTCCGCCTTTTTTGGTGAGGCCACTCAGTCCTGTCTGGTCAAGGCCTGTTTGTTTGTTAGCAGCTTGATCAGCTTAATGAAACTCGCAGCTTATTCGGTTAGCTATACATGATTGTTTGGTAGTGGCTTAATGATATAGAGTGTAGCTTTATGCAGAAAGTCAAGTTTTTTCCAACCTGCCCTTTCCAATTAAAAAACACGCTTCTTCCAGCTATGAAAAAACTCCCAAATAAAAACTTCCCCAATCTATACAGACAAATTAATCCAAACATATGTTATTATCCATACAGGACTTAATGGAAAACCGACCAAACAGCCCCTCAGTTTAATTGTCGCACCACACGTGGGACAACCAGTTTGTTATGTCATGTTTTGTCCCAAAGTGTGGATGAGTATTTGTTGTATATAAATATTATATACTTCAAAAAAAAATCTAGTCGGAAATTTTCTGAAGATACAAATAGTTCAAGATTCTTACCAACCGCAAAGTTCTATCACAGACGGCATGGTGCATTAGGATCCCGGAAGCAACAGAGACGTTGAACGAGTCCACCATCCCTTTCATCGGAATACTACAATGCATGTCCGACAATTTCAAAGCTTCTTCACTAATCCCGCTGTAATAACGACCATTAGAATTACGATCAAGATATCCAAAGTAGATTTATATTCTAAAACAAAGATTTTGGAGGCCATAGTATCAATAATCACTAGATAACCTCTTCAGAAAAGATAAAAAAAAGGGTAACCGTGGGTGTCTGGGCCGGCTTGGACACACCTCAACTAATCCCATGGGGCCCTCAAGATACCAGCCAGGAATATCTGACTGGCCCTCAGGAGACTCGAACTGAGGCCTTCGGCCTAGCGGTACACAACGTCAGGGACGCACCTATTAGGAGTTGAGCGGGCTACCGTGCACCCGCTCACTCGATTATTGCAAGAGAAAAATATAGCCGTCTGAACATGCACCTGTTTAATTTTGAGGGGTGCCCTTAAATACTTTGAGACCAAATCTTAACAAAAATTAAACATGGGTGGCATAGTTGGATTACCATTTTATATATTTATATATAAGAGATTACGGGTTTGAATCTTTTAAATGAATGTTTACTTTTTTATCTTTTAATTTTAGACTATTTCTGAAAACATTAACAGCAAAAATATAGTCAGAATCTTCAAGTACAAATATAAGCATTACTACCACTATTCCCAGGTAACCCATTTTGATTCTATTATTTTTTTCCTGGTCTATTTTCCTTCCCGATGTCAATTCATCTTAAAAATTATCGCTTCTTCTCTCATTTTCAAGGCAACACATATTTATTTGAAAGATCAAGGTCGATTCCATTTTTTTTTAAATGTATTTTATTCCTTAAATCGACACAATTGACTTTTCCCTAGATCAAACAGCGGTGACTCTCTCCCCAACTCAAACCGCGATTTTGCGGACCTTTGATACACCTTAAAGGTGCACCTGCTCAAGGAAATTCTTGGGTCCGCCACTGCACGCCCTTTCAATTTAACACCGAACTGAAGCTTGAGGTCATGTTTACATACATCTTATCCTCCCCATACCCACCTCGAGATGGGATATGTGGGATATATTGGGCTTGCCTCATTTGGTTTAGAGTATCTTCAACAAATTATCTAAAATTTCTCAAATTGGAGAACGGAACTTCAAAATCTCTAAAACAAAAATACATTCAACTCCAACAGCTTATCCATTTTGGAGATTACAACATTGATTATGTTATTAAAATATTTCATAATAAAATATTATCTCTCTAAATATTTATTTTCAAAGTTTCCTGTTGATGGAAAGATATTAAAAAATATCTCCCATTGATAATCAGTTTTGGGGTATTCTCCAAATTTAGAGATTTTTACACTTTCTCTCATACTTTCTCCATTCTGGAGAAAGGTTTTGGAGAATCTGTTGGAGCAAAAAACATATCCAAAATCCCCAAAATCTATATTTTCTCCATTTTGGAAAACTAGCTAATAAGCTAGTTGCTAGTCTGCTAGCTGATAAACTAATCATGTTTGGTAAAACAAGCAGATAAGTCGGATGAAAATGTAATATGACCTAATAGGAAAATATAAGGGGCAAAATTGGAAAATGTGGGGAAAAAAGCCCCAATAAGCTATCTAAAGTAGCTTTTCAAAAAGCTAGTTTTCCGGGGTTCCGTCCACTTTACCCAAAAAAAAAAAAAAAAAAAAAAGTAGCTTTTCAAAAAGCTAGTTTCTTTTTGAAGTATATAATATTTATATATGGCAAATGCAACAAATAAACTCACACACCCTCCTCACCTTTGGTAAAGTTTGAACACCTGACCTCCCATGAAGGCCAAAGGCCCGGATACCGCTAGGCCAAAGGCTCTTTAGTTTTCAAAAAGCTAGTTTATTGCTTACAAAACGGTTTTTTTTCTAATAAGCTCAAAAAATAAGTTAGGGGCTGTTCTGGGTAAGCGTTTGCCGTGTGTCACTTACCTTCCGGGTAAGCATGGCAAGGACCGAGAATCTTACACAGTAAGAGGCATGGCAACGACCGAGAATCTTACCCAGTAAATGAGGGATAAGACTCTTACCCGGTAAGCTCTTATTGGGTAAAAGCCACTTACCAACATCAACATTCCATTTTGATGGAAGAGAATGTGATACCCGATAAGGTAAGTGAAAGTGGTGACTTTTGCAGTTAAGTGCTTAACCAGTAAGCTTTTGGTAAATGGCCCCTTAATCTATGATTGCCAATTATAGCCTTCATGAAGGAGGCAACAAGACATAATAACAGAACACAACAACAAAAAAGACGTACTTAATACCTGCCCTCATTTCCAACGACGATAGCAGTGGGGCACGACCAATCCATATCATAAACAGAAACCTGTAAAATAGCCAAACAGACCAGAGTCCATCACGTATACATTCACCACAGTTTTGGATTATACATTTAAGTAGCAGAAGAATATATCAAATTCATAGGTACCGTCTCTATTCCCACATGCGTTGTAGCAATGCGATAGCCACGCGACTTCAAAACTTCGAAGCACTCTTTAGTGGTATCCCAAAGCTCAATATCCAACCATTTCTCGGCCCCCATACTAACATGACGATGCTCTCTATACCTACATGATGGAGATGGCTTTTCTCAGATTCATCAAAATAACCAATGGTACTAATTTCAATTTCCAAAGATGATGCGAAAACTATAGCTTCTTTTTTAAAAGCCAAGTGAATAAACAAGCACTATATCATCATTTACTAGAAGCCATGGTAGTTGTAATGTTGTATGGCTCTCTATGGAGAATCAAGATATGTCATTTAAAACAACAAATTAAAAGACTTCTTTGATAACATTAACTCTATTAAAAAACAGGGGAAGCTTAAATGAGAACCATGAGAAGCTAAGAACCAACTATTTTACATATTATTCATGATTAATAACCCTGAATAATCATGAAGATCTAAGTGTTTTCATAATTCATGATATGATAGCATTTTCATCATGAATATAATGTACTTTCATTCATGAATAATTATTGGAAAAACTGTCCAAAATAATCAATTTGAAACCCCCTCTTCATTTTATAGCCACCTTTCCAACTTATTGACCAAAATAGTTGGAAATTACGCGACACTTATACAACTTTTGTAACCCACTTGTTCAATATAACATTAAGAAAAAGTAGACATTACAAAAGTTACATAAGTGCTACTTGCATTATGTCTACATGGACAAGCAAAAAGTAGACATTAAGCAAGTAGCACTTACGCAACTTGCGTTGATGTCTAATTTTCCTGAATCTTATATTGCAAAAGTAGATTAAGCAAGTTGCATAAATGCTACTTGCATAATCTCCGGTCAATTTGTTGAAAATGTGACCATAAAGAATAGATGGCAGGTATGAGTTGGCTTTTTCAGTAGATTTCCCTAATTTTTATCATGAAAATCTATCAACAACGTTCATCATCAAAACATGAATAATTGGTTCTCGAATTCTCAAAATACTTGCAATTCTCTACCAAAGGTGCATCCATATTAATCAAGATGCATAAAATCAAAGTTTAAGTCACCTCAGATTGGGTTAACACCTTTTCCGGCTGTCGAGCGACACCACATGAACAGACTGAAACCCTAAAGCATCTGCTGATCGGAAAACAGCAGAAACATTCCCTGCATCTGATAAACCCTCCACCACCAAACACACAGAATACGTCCGATTATTCACAACATTCATAAATCTCTCCTTCCTAAGATCCATTAACGAAGGATCAACCGCATCCAACACCTCTCGGCTACTCAAAAATGTGTTTCCAGCTTTGAATTGATCCAAATAAGGAAACCAACGATTCGATTGAGGTCCATTCGTCCTTCGTTCCATCTTCATGAAACTGGAAACATCATCATTGGTGTTTCTCCATATTAAATCTCTAACAGTAGGTCGTTCATCATCATCATCTTCTTCTTCTTCCTCCTCCGGGGATGTACAACCAGCATCGGTGGATTCAATCGAAACGGCAGATCGAATGGATACATATGCTCTTGAGAAATTCGGATAGGGTTTAAGCCTAAACCCTAGACCTTCGATTCAAATTGAGAGGATGAATTTATAAACGAAATCAATTACGAAATAGGATGAGAATGAAGAAGAGATTTGACGTTCACCTTGGTTGCGAGAGAGACGGTGGTGGCAGGAAAAGTGTAACAATGGTGTAGAAGTTTTGATGCGTGTTGTACTGAAATCTAAACAGGAAAGAGAACAGCGGCGGAGGAATTTGCAGGTATTCATGTCTGTGTGTGTTCTCTGCGGTGAAGATGACGGCGGAGAGAGAGGATAAACGAATACCGATCAGTGGTGGTGGTGACGCCATAAAATCACAAAATAGGAAATAATATTGAGTTGGATATCGCATCAGCATGGTAACCGGTTAATGCTTCAACCGGTTACTCGGGTACTTAAATGTTTAAAACTTTACATCCTAGGTATCAAAACGGAAGTTTTGAAAGTACATTAATCAAAATAGGAATCAAGTTATAATGCATTACTTTTCATGCAATTTATCCCCAAAATATTCAATATATTTAATAAAATATTATTTATCTCTTATACATATGTAGGCCCCGTTCATCCAAACAGTTACCGTTAGTAGTCTACACTATTGCTTACCTTATTCGGTAAGATTCTAATCCATCGAAACAGTATCATATACAACAATATTCCTAGTAAGCATTACCGAATAAGAGTCATCACCCTCATTTACCAAATAAGATTTTCAATCCTTGACATTACTCTTACAGGAATACAGGGTAAGATTTTCGATCTGTATCATTTTTTCCAGTAAAGTAAGTAAATTTCGATAAACACTAACCGAATAAACATTTGATAAACCGACACCTCATGACAAGCACATCGTTCAATGACAATGTCGTATTGAACTCTAAATCCTTAAGTAAAGTGAATTGAATACATTTCTTTCTTTTGGAGTCGTAAACAATGGAAACCTCTGGTAATTGCAATATTCAAGGGGTACGTTTGGTTTGATAAAATGGTTTTAAGGAATTTAGATTTCATGGGATTTGGAATTTTTGGTGTGTTTAGTCTGTAGGATTAAAAACATTATCACACATAAATCCTATGAAATCCCGTGAAATACCAACAAGCCACCCATAGAATTTCAAAAATCTGTATGTGGGATTTCAAATCTGGGAAATTCTTTAAAACAAAAATCGGTTTGAATGGAATTGAATTCCAAATTCCTCTAAATCATACGAACCAAACGGGAACTCAGTTTTCCGTCATTTAAGGGTTGTTTGTTACCTCTTAATAGTTCCATTAAGAGGCAGTTTCTGAATCGTTAAGAGGTGGATTATGTTTGACAAAAAAATGTCACTTAATGGTTTTAAAAACTTCTGAATGATTTTGTATCATGTGTCTCTCTTAACCATTCAGCATCTTAATTTCATTGTAAACATTTACTAAACAATTATATTTCATTTTGCATTGTATTATTAGAGTCTATTAATCATTCAGATCACTTAATCATTTTGTATTAAATCATTCAGCAATTATCAGTTAGGTAATTAGAATTGGATGGCAAAAAGCCATTAAATTTAAAAAGGTTCTTAAAAGTCAAATGGAACAAATGAACACCAAGGGTTCTATGGTGTAGTGGTTAGCACTCTGGACTTTGAATCCAGCGACCTGGGTTCGAATCCCGGTAGGACCTTTTTGCTCCATTTTTTTTTACCAGCAATAGTGATTTGTTTTTTGGAATTATATTTTTAAGGGTCATTTACGAAACACTTACCCGATAAACAATTACTGGTAAAATTTAATATTATCATTTACTTATCGAATAAGATTTTAGTCCATCAAAACGATATTGTATGCTGCGGTTTACCGTGGTAAGAGTCGTCGCCCTCACTTACTAGGTAAGACTCTTGGTTATTTTTTCATACTTACCGAGTAAGATTCATGGTTTTTACCATATTCATCCGGTTAGGTAATATGACTTTGTAAGCGTTTACCCAGGTAAACGTTTGGTAAACGGCAACTTAATATGACTTGGTAAGCGTTTACCCAGGTAAACGTTTGGTAAACGGCAACTTAATATGACTTGGTAAGCGTTTACCCAGGTAAACGTTTGGTAAACGGCAACTTAGTTGGTAACATGATGGGTTGACTTTGTCCAAGTGCAAGGCAGGTTTTGGGTTCAATCCTGGACCAACTGCTCTGCTAGTCTCAACCGTTGAGTAAGCCAAAAAATGTTCTATCACATGGGTGTTCTTAATAACGGGTTTCATATGAGACCGGTTAAAATTACTGGTAATCAACTTTTCCCAAATTACTACAAAATTATTTGATTTGATAGTTGTTGAAAAATCACTTATTTTAGAAAAAATATCCTCAATTTTGTCAAAATCTTTTATTCCATTTTTTATTTTCAGTTTTATGAGATAAATATTAATGATGTAAATCTAAATAAAATTTATATTTAAGATTTTTTTTAAATATTTATTTTATTATTTGTAAAATTCAGAAAAAAAGAGTAAGGGGCCGTTTACCAAACACTTACCCGGTAAGCGCTTACTAGTAAAATTTAAAACTACCACTTACTTACCGAGTAAGACTTTTGTCCACCAAAACGGCATTGTATGCAACAATTTACCCAGTAAGCGCTTTACTATGGTAAGAGTTGTCGCACTCACTTACCGGGTAAGACTTTTGGTTCTTGTCTCCCTCTTACCGGGTAAGATTCTTGGTTTTTACCATATTCATCCAGTAAGGTAATGTGACTTGATAAACGCTTACCTAGGTAAGCGTTTGGTAAACGGCCCCTAAGATGGATTATTTTTTAACCAATGGATTGTTTATCAAAATCTTATCGGCAAAAGTCACCACTCTCACTTATCTTATCAGGTAACATTTTCGGCCATTAAAGTGGATGGTTGGTAAGCGTTTTTTACCTGGTAAGAATAGCATCTCTCATTTACCTTATTATGCCTCTTAGGCATATAGCTTCCATTTTTGTTCTAGAAGGTGCGTGTTTTTTAATTAGGAGGGTCAGGTTTGGAAGGAAAAAAAAACTTGGCTTTTACATAAAGCTCTCTTTTAGAAGCTTACTGATAAAGTCATTTTCTATATCATTAATCTGCTACCAAACAATCATTTATAGCTCATCGAATAAGTTATGAGTCTCATTAAGTTGCTAACAAACAGAGCCTAAACGAATAAAAGGAAAAAAGAAACAAGTTAGTTATTAGATCAGTTGTAGAAGAGACATTGATATATAAGCAGTCTGCATAAATTATACACAACAATGGCTACACAAGAAAAGCCAGCAACAACAAGAAGATCTCTATTCAACACTTCAAAGCAAAAGAATGATGATTACCAGCATTTCCACATCTTTGCCGCGGTAGCCGACGCGTCCTCCGCCCCCACCCGCCGAGACTTTTCTCCAACGCAACCTCCCTACAAACCGTCTGCTCAACAACCACCGCCCCCGGTGGCGGCGGCGGTAGCTTAGAAGAGGTGTCTACCGCCATTAACTGCCGCCTGCTCCTACCGTTTCTAGCAGCAGCTTTCCTTTTCGATAAACTAGACTGCCAAGAAACACCGATACTGGAAAACGCTTCTTCGAACGTTTGAAGATCTTCCGTCACTTCCCGCCGAGATAACGTAATGATATTTGGCAGTATATCTTTCTGAAAATCTTTCCTTTGCCTTCCCCTCCTTCCTTGCCCCTTTCTCGGTGTCCGTTTTGAAAACGAACCCGTTTCTTCTTCTTTTTCTTTCTCCTCCTCGACGATCGTTGGTTTATAATTCTCGTAACTTTCATCAGAATCTCGAAGTTTTAATGTCATGAACTCAAAGTCATCCATGCCTTCAGGAATGGATTCTTGATCCATTTTGATTGAACTTTTCTTGAACCCGTCAGACGTGATCACCACCGCGAACCACATCAAAGTGGCGGCGGATGGTTCTTGAGGTGGGTGGCAAGAATCTCGAACCTTAGATGATGAAATGGATACGATAGCTTCAGCTGCAGCCTTATCGAGCTCGAAATGATCATCCATGGAACCATTTTCGGAATCCATTTCTGGAGAATTGGTTTCGGATTCAAGAACTGCTGGAGCCTCCAAATCTATCTCCATTGTAGCAATCTTGACAACGGATCCCAGGAAAGGAGCATCTTCTTCATCAAGAGACAAGTTTAAATCAATATCCGAAATGCAGTTTTTCCCGCCATTATCTTCAACTTTGGGGTCGTAATCAGTCTCTTTCGTGACCAAATCTTCTGAGTTCTGTAAATCGATAATGGGGACTCCAAGAATCTTGGAAAAGCTCTGGGAATCGTCGGTTTTTACCTTCTTGAACTCCCGTGGATCGTTACCCTCTGCCATTTCGGCTTTCTTGAAAAACTGCTGAGAATGGTTCTGCAACGAGTCCAGGTTAATAGGATAAACGCTCGTTTCTTTTCCGTTCATCTCTTCACTCTGCAAACATGGTTTTGCCACGAGCCAAGAAGACAGCCGTTGTGCAGGGGTTTCACGGTTCTTCCACATGTCCATAAACTTACGTTTTTCGCTAACACAAATTTCTTCAAGGTTATCAGATACCGGATCTTTGGATTTGATACCATTTAGAAAACCTACAGGTCTTGAATTTGTCATCAATCTTGATGACAAATTGCCTGCAAAAGAACTCGGGTTTTGCCTCATTGAATCAGAGGAGCCGGAGCCGAGCCAATGGTTATGATGAAGAATTGTACCATTCTGACCCAAAGAAGTAGTGTTTCTCCATGGTAAAACTAAGGATGGCTCAGGGTTGATCGAGCTCGATTGAGGATTGGAAGAGCGAAAAGTGGGTGCCCGCAGAAAATCAAAAGACGGGGTGTGGTTTCTTCCGCAGATTTCAACGCCAAATATCGTTCTTTTTGCAGCCGAATCCCGCTTTTGTGGTTCATCTGCAAAACAGTCTATACTGTTCTTATTCCTAACAGATGCTGAAAAATCCGTCTCCTCTATCTGGATCGGTTCATTCAAATCTGCCAAATTAAACACTTTCTCCGTGCTCAAACTGTGAAAATTTCCTACTTTCTCTTCTACATCAGCAGGCAATTCTAAATCGATCACTTTTCTTTCAGAAACGTCGCATTTTGAGGTAGATGCTCTACTAAAAGCCGAGCCCACCAGAGAAAAACTAGACGATGCTTGACTTGGAAAACGACCCAAATTTGATGTTTCTGGCAGCACCGGATTCATCAAATCCCTCTGCCTTTTGTACAGCCGGTGTAGTTCTTGGAGCTGGAATGCAAGAAAACGTTGATAACACGAAAACTTCAAAACAGAAGTATATTCAAGAACATCACAGAWMKTGTAWGTTCAAGATTCAAGAGGTTAGATGCTAAAGAGTAAAGAGGTCATTTCCGAGAAGACCCCGAGCTAGTATGAAGTGCATGAAAGTGAGGTTAGATGCTAAAGAGTAAAGAGGTCATTTCCGAGAAGACCCCGAGCTAGTATGAAGTGCATGAAAGTGAGGTTAGATGCTAAAGAGTAAAGAGGTCATTTCCGAGAAGACCCCGAGCTAGTATGAAGTGCATGAAAGTGAGGTTAGATGCTAAAGAGTAAAGAGGTCATTTCCGAGAAGACCCCGAGCTAGTATGAAGTGCATGAAAGTGAAAAAAAACAGATAAGCTAAGATTTGACAAGCTAGATATGAGTAAACAATAGCAATACAAATATCATTATAGCCGAAGGTGGGGTCAGGAGGGTATGATATAAGCAGACCTGGCATCTACCTTGAAGAATTGGGCAGTTGTTTCCGAGAAAACCCCGGCTAGTGAGAAGTGTGTGAAAGTGAACAAAACATGTAAGCTAAGAGCCTAAGATTTGAAAAGCTAGATATGAAGTAACCATTGCAATACAGATATTGCTATAGCCGGAGGTGGGGTCGGGGATAAGTTGTAAGCAAACGGCGGAGGTGGGGCCTGAGGGTAAGATGTAAGCAGACTTACCCTCTATCCTAAAGAGTAGAGTGGTTGCTTCTAAGAAGACACCCAGCTAGCGAGAGGTATGTGAATGTGGAAAAAGGAACAAATAAGCTAAGATTTGAAAAGCTAGATATAAGTAAGCAATAGCAATACAAATCGATGCTAAAAATGGACAAAGAAACCGGACCTGATGCCTGAAGATCGATTCATGCTTCAAGATAGTTTGCCTAATTTGTTCTTTAGCATATCCATCCGTGGCTTGCCTAGTTAGAAAATAATCGAAATGCTGACTGTTTCCGGGGCCAGAAATCATGCGACTTTTGTCATCGTGATATAGGTCCCAGACACCATTGCAAAAACCGTTGTTTAGATCCATCATTGAACCGGGAAAATGTGTCTTGGATTGCACTTTGGCTCCCATTTCTGCAACCAGATCAAGAAACAAACCAATTCATATCAGAACAAAGTAAGGCCCATAAGCTACCTCATTTTTTTAAGCTTATTGAAGAAGTCCCGTTTGGTTAGCCATAAGCTAGCTTCTTGAAATACTACTTAAAGTAGCATTTCAAGTAAGCTAGAAGTAGCATTTCAATAATGCTCGGAGAGATTTTTTCCACTTTTTTTCCAATTATACCCCTGGTATTTTTCTAAGTAATTAGTCTATAATGTCATTTTAGATCACTTTTCATTGTCGTATAACTTATCGGCTAGTTTTTACCAAACATGATCTAACTTATAATTATAACAATGATTATGGACAAATTATAGTGATTGTAAACACAGAAGAAACCATCTTATTTGACCATTTTTAGTCCGAAATTACTCAATCTCGCAAAATATAGTGTTTGTTCATCGTTTTTCTTGCGAAAAACGATTAGTTGTAACGAAAAAGGCGAGTAAGATGGTTTTAAAACTCGATCAATCCAAATCATAATTAGTTCAACGTGTTCTTCAATGATGATCATCAAATCACGCTAATGCTCAAAGTTCATTGCTTCTAATCTTGCAAGTAGGTAACAAATCTGAGCTCAGAGAGATATGTAACCAGATTCTTAAAAAGGTTAACAGATATCAAAAACTTTTATCACAAAAAAACAAAAAGGATTGATGTTCACTTTGCTTTTTGATGCATGAAAACAGTAGTTTAAAAATCAACAGATGCACAGAAACAGTTGTAATCGGCAAACATTGAACAGACTGCGATTAAGGCTAGAAAATGAGAAATAATCACAAATCAAACCAACAGCAAATTAATTTCTAGAGTTAATCGAATCATAAAACAATAAAAACGGTAAAAATTAAGAGATTTAGAGAAGAATCCACCTCATACACTTTTAATTCTCAGCTAAAATCGTAAGAATCCTCGGCTGAAGAACATCGATTTCTGTCAGAAATTGCGAAATTCGAAGTGAACAATCAAACAACGCCGATAATCGAGCTCTGTGATGGCTTCCATAAACGATAAAAAGGAAGAAAATTTCCGATCGGCTGGTCCACTTTTTGTGATCAAAACAGATACGAGAAAAAGAGAGATCCCAGATAAGATAGATCCCTATCTTCTCTCTCAAAATCTCTTTGGTTTTCTCTCTCTAGAAATCAAGAAGCCATGGGTAGAATGAGTTGAAATTTGTCAATATGTCGTCTTTCTCTGATATTTAATTGCACGTAGATTGTTGTGATTCGATTATTCATTGAATTTCCCATTTGGAAAGTATAATCTAGAAAAGAATTTAAGAAAATGGTTATGGAGTTTGGGGAAAATCGTAGATATAGATATAGATATAGATACAGAATTATGTATGTATATATGTATCTATATGTCACCTATCATTCATTGCTTTTGGATTCCTCCACAACTTTTATGTTTTTTAGTGTCAATACAGAATTTTTTGACATTTACCATTTTAATTTTTTTTTCTTCCAATCTCCACTTTAAAAAAAAAAGGTTAAATTCTAAATATATATGATTGGATTCACGTGAAACCAACATGTTTTTGTGAGACCTGTGAAATTATTTTTTTATTTTTGAAACTTCATAACAAAACGTAGTAAAAGTAAAAGAAGTTGAACCTTCACAATGTTTTGATGTGAAGTTTAAGTGTAAAAAAGTAGTTTCATGAAAATATATTGGTCTCACGTGAACCCAACGACACACACACACACACACATATATATATATATAGAGAGAGAGAGAGAGAGAGTTTGTTTCAAATGCAACCCATCACATTTGTACAACCAATGCAACCCAATAAATTGAAATATTTATAGAAATCATGATAGTTTATTTATTATGATTTAAATATTTATGGAAGATAAATAAGGTTCATTAATTATCATCAATATTTTATATTAGAAAACAATCAAAACTTTTATAAAAATATATATTCATCAAACAGTTGATGTTGAGTTGTATTGGTTGTACAAATGTAAGAGGTTGTATAATAACTCACTTCTCTCTCTCTCTCTCTCTCTCTATATATATATATATATATAGAGAGAGAGAGAGAGACTTGGGATCATATGAGACCAAGGTTTTTTCGTGAGACCCATAGGACCAATTCTCAACCTTTGGATTAGATCTACAATTTCAACATTCATAATCACAAAATTGCCACGAGACTTCTCAATAATTACAAAATTGTCACCGTGCAACTTTGGACCATTAGATCATTAGCTTATAAAGTTGATCAATGAACATAAATTGGTCTCACGGGTCTCACGAAAAAACTCTTGGTCTCACGTGAACCCAACTATATATATATATATATATATATATAAATTAAATCTTTTTTTTTCATATTTTAATATATTAATTTGATATATAATATATGTTTAGTAACAGTTTTTGTCAATTACACATACAAGTTGTTTGATTGATTATCCATTAAATCATGTACGAAAAAAGCTGTCTATATGAATGATCTGTCTTTATAGATTAAAAAAGTTGATTTGTGGGAGTTTCTTCATAAACGAAAGGTTCGTAATTTTTACTTGAGAGGGGTAAGTTTAGAAAAAAAACTTTATTTTCTGGATAAAACTTCCTGTAAAAACTTACTGAATATCTCATTTTCTATATTATTAAGTCACTATCAAACATTCGTTTATAGCTATAACCAATTAAGTTATAAATCTCATTAACCATATTAAGTTGATAACAAACAGATACATAATATAATAATAGTGTTTTATTATAAACCTAAAATTTAAAAGACATTATTGGTAAATTAAGAAAATATATTAACACAGCGTATTAATATGGGTGTTGTTATATGCACTTTTTTTTATGTCAAAATCAAGTCAAATTATGCATTAAAAATATAAAAATAAGTGTTAATATTGATGTATAAGAGAAAAAATAGTATGAATGATGCATTTAACCTCCCTATTGATTAATAATTCATGGGTGTCCACTCATATTGTGTGGTTTGGGACTCATCGGGTCGGTATGGTCTAACCGAAGTCAACTGACTCACATGGAATACAAAATGAGTTTTCATCGAGCTCGTCGCTTGTATAAAAAACCAAATTGTACCGCATAACAATTTTCCAAATTGTAATATATATATATATACACACACACACAGAGGTTCTACAAACCAGTGAAATCTAACAGACTGTACGAACCATGTGGCTCGTTGTTTGATTGAATAAAATTTGTTTCATGAAAATGTTTAATATGATGAAATTGTTTCATATAATTCTTTTCTTGATGAAAATTGTTTCATAAATTTTAGTTTCTATGTGGAAAAAAAATTGTTTCATGTATTTTTCATTTTAATGAAATTTGTGTCATGTATTTTTGATTAATCAACCCTCATATATTTTTGATGAAATTGTTTCATATATTATTGACTAACCAACCTTTATAATTAAGAAAAAAAACACTGTGTCATATTATTTAATATGATCTATAGCTAACATATTTCACATCCCAGTAGTTATAAAATCATAAGATTAAAATGAATTCGACGATAATATATTCATACAATAAAAGGTTTCACTGTGTCCTGATTACATAACAAAAAACAGTGCAAAACAAACTAAAAAGTTTCACAGTTAATCCAAAATACACAACATAATTACAGTCTAAAAACAGAACTAAAAGATCGCAATCCAAAACAAACGCTCCAATACGTCTCCCCAAGAGACTCTCGATCTGGGTTGGGTTTTTTAACGGATACGACAGTGGGATGTTCTTTATGGACCTATCATCGTATCTCTAATTATCTATAAATTTTATTATTATATAGCTGTATATACAAGAGTGTTTTTGTGCACGTTCAGTACTGTTTGATAAAAATTCAAACTGAAAACAACCCTTGAAAATTCTAACTGCATATTTTAATGTGTCGTATCCGTAACAACGATGTATAAAGGTGACAACCTCATATCCGATAACTTCACCGGAGGTCATTCCGCTGCTTGTATTTCTTCATCGTCGGAGGACTGGTGGATGGTTTATACAGTTTGATAAACGATTTTAAATTGTAAAACAAAATTTCATGATCTAAAGTTCATCCAATTAGTAATCGTCTGTTCGACTTTACCTTAAAACAAGTTGTATAAAAACCTGATTCAAAGTGTTTTACCTGATTAAATTTTATTTTTTCATTTACCTGTTATAAGGGTGTGTAGAAAATCATTGTATCTTATTGGAGGTAGCTAGTTGGTATAAACTTTTACAAGGTGTATGGACTTGATTTGTAATAAACTTATAAATTGAAGGACTGTAAATGCAATAACTGAAAGTTATAGGATAAACATGTACATTACTATAAGTTAAGGGACTCAAAATGTATAATGTACTATTGAGATTTCTAGGCATCACAACTTTAACCGACATATAGAAAGAGTGGAAGCATATCTCATCATTACCAAGGCGCAACAACCGTCACGCGTCTAAGTAGCACGTGACATTCACACCCCATTCCTATACCAAACTCATGAAACGCATCGATTATTGTTTAGCAACTTGTTATTTTTTTAATCATCAAATATTATCAGATTTGTTTAATGAATTGAAATCTGTCTGTTTAGTTTATAACGGAACTGGAACGGAATGATGAAAAAAAGACAAAAATACCCTTTTCTTGATATATTTTTTTAAAAACATAACTTTTTAGTAGCATTGAAAACAGTAGCATCGAACAACCACATAACCATAGAGCAGGGCCTGCTATTTGGGGGGTTATAATCAACTGTTGTATACAATTTGAAAATAGTGGCATTGAACAACCACATAATCATCTACTTTGTATTGTTAGACCATCACAAAGACTTTGAGAAACATACCGTCGAACACAGTTTGAGAAACATTAGGATTTATACAGTTATGAAAACAGTAGCACACAGTTATGAAATAGTACGATGAAAAACAATAACAAGTAGCATAAATCAGAAATAGGAATACCCCTCAAACAGTAGCAGGTAGCATAAATCGAAGAAAGAAGCAGCATAAATCAGAAAATCGAAGAAAGCAGTGTTCAACCAGGAAGAAAATGTGGAAACAGTTCAATCGAAAATCGAAGTGGAAGCAGTGTTCGATCGGAAGAGTGTGAGGAAGAAGGAGAATGAAGTGGCTAGGGTTAAAAACAATGTAATGGGGTAATTTTTGTCATTTACATAAATTGGGATGGAATGGATTTTAATTCCATCACTTTCCCCTAAGGAATGGTTAAATCCTTCAAATGATAGATTTCAATTCAATCAATTCTATTCCAAATGTAACCAAACATTGGAATGAAATTTGATCAACGGAATTGATCATTCCAATTCCATCACATTTCGACGGATTCCGACGAACCAAACGCCCCCTTAGTACAGTATGATTAAGTACTCAAAATGATTATGAGACTTTCATGATATAGTGTAGAATAAAATATAATTGTTTGATAATTATTTACAACGAAATTAGGGCGCTGAATGGTTAAGGMAGACTCATGATACAAAATCATTCAGATGGTTTTAGAACCATTAAGAGACATTTTTTTGTCAAACAAGATTCATCTCTTAATGATTCAAATACTGCCTCTTAATGGAACTATTGAGAGATAAACAAACAACCTCTTAGAGTCTGTTTGACAGTTGTTGAATGGTTTGGTGTTGAATAATTAAGTGATCAAAATGATTAAAAGGTTCTCGTGATATAATACAAAATGAAATATAATTGTTTAGTAATTGTTTATAATAAAATTAGGGCACTGAATGGTCAAGGGATGTTCAAGATAAAAAAACCATTCAGAAGGTTTTAGTACAATTAAAAAACAATTTTTTTTTTGTCAAACAAGATTCAGAGTTTGCCTCTTAATGAAACTATTAAGAGGTAAATAAACAACTCATAAATCAATAGATACATAATTGGAATCTAGACTGCTTTTGGTTTCTAATTTAAATAGCATTTTACAGAAAATAAATTACAAGAATATCTTAAAAACATATACTTTTATAAAAATAATCATGGGCTTTTCCTTTCTTTTCAAGAAATGCTAAATGGCCCGTCAAATATACAAAAGCTGACATGAATGTACAAAAGCCTGTCGATAATGTGACCATCGGAGACGGTTACACGTCAAAGGGGGGGGGGGGGAGACCGCGTCGGCCGGCACTGAATGACCCACCACCCGAGCCTTTCTCTCACTCTTCGTTTTCCTCCTCCTTATGAGCCAATGTGACCACTCGTATTATTTTGTCTTTTTTGCATTTATTTTTATATAAACTTAAGAAATTCCAACACTTCAAACATCAATCGATAACATTGAGAAAATTCTCTCAGTAACAAATACTGAGAAACTCTTTAAAATCAACCAAAAGACTTATTTCCGAATTCTCAAAAATCAATGTTAACGTCCGTTGAAAAGTTATCTCCAAATCGTTGACAGCTTTTGTACTTTCACGTTAGTTTTTGTGTATTTGGTGGGTCATTTAGCATTTCTTGAGGAGAAATGAGGAACCCGTGATTATTTTATGTAAAAAAAAGTTTTTTCAGGATATCTTTGTAATATTTTTGTAAAAAAGACTGTTTGAGTTAACAACCCGTTGTTTTTGTGGTGGCACGTGTCACTGTTTCATTCATCCGTCATAGTGTAAAAAATTACAGGGTCGTGAAATATGTCACGGTATCAATTTTGTTGCATGTCATGTGTATATTTTGAAACTACAATGATGACGCAACTTGGTAGAGTTGGTTTGCAAAGCGTGTTTTTCTACCTCAAAACCAAATTCGAATTTTGTTAGTGTCATTTTATTGGGTTTTAGCTTTTAATTTCAGATATATTGTGTTTTTGAAAAAAATATCGTGATAAAATACTTGAGCACATGATATCGCATACGAAAAGTAACGAACTAACCAACAACCAATGATGATTTTGTGAAAAACATCTCATATTTGTTTTCGTATAGTCAAATGGTGTCAATACCTGAAAAAAATTATGGGTCCATCTCTGAATCAACATGTGTATCAACTTAATTGGTAATAATTACAATCAGTTGATAGTATCATATTAATTACGTAAACTTGGTTGGTACACGGTATAAGAAGTCGTATACATGGCAGTACCATGATACCGGCTTATTTAATTATTTTTTATTTTTTTTTCAAAATTTTATTATTGAATATTAAAATTTATAACTTTAACTATTTTGTTTGAATATTTGAATATTTGCAAGTTTATGCATTGCAATAAAAACAACCTTTGAATATCACATTTTCTATTAACCTGGATATCCAACCCGCTATGCGAGCCGACTAATCCCATGGCGACCACCTGCTTTGCAGATAGCCCGAGTCACTGCATTGAACCTTCGTGGCCACAATGAGATTTTTATTCCTCTTTAGATTTGAACCTGGATCTCCTGAATATCACATTTATTACCTAAAAAAATCAAAATGTCACTCAAAATTTGAATATAATGGCAAATTTCATATATGTAGCTTAAAGCATGTATAAAATCAATACCAACATATAACAATCGAAAACGCTGGTACCAAATACAATTGATTGGTAAACGGAAAAAAAAAATGTGTACCACTTGAACACGATATTGGAGAAGAAAAAAACCTTAGTATCGTACCAAATCATTCCTAAAAATATAAGTTGAAGGGGAAAATTGTCATTTTGAGTTCGATTGGGTTGAAAATTGTTACATTTATCTCTGTATTTTAAAATTACGATTTTCGTTCTTACAGTTTATAGTTTATTGTTGTTTTCGTTCTTATGATTTAAAGTTTATTATCGTTTTAGTCCTTGTGATTTACATTTTATTATTGTTTTTGTTCTTCATACTTATTGCAAACCACAAGAATGAAAACCCGCAACTTCGAAACCATTCAAAAGTCATAATTTTTGCTAAACCACAGGGGCTAAAAACGTAATTTACAATCACAAGGGGGTGTCTGCTTGGTTTGAGCTTGGCTCCAAATGTCAAAAGTACCAGGAGGTCCCAGATTCAAATCCAAGGAGGAATAAAAATCCCTTTGTGGCCACAAAGGTTCAAATGCGGTGACTCCGGGCCATCTGCAAAGCAAGTGGTCATCTTGGGATTAATCGGCTCACATAGCGGATTGGGTATACAGGTCAATAAAAAAACGTAATTTACTCAATTGCCAAACTTTTTTCTGGCCCATAAGACAATAACCTCTTCAAAAAGCCCAACATTTCCCATATCAGCCGGCCCAACTATGTTTGGGCTACAAACAGCCACAGCCCAATAACCTTTTCCAGGTTGTTTTTTTTCCCATAAAGATATATATTATATTATAAAATATTTCACAAAAACTCTTAAAAATAATATTTTATACATGAAATACTGTTTATTAATGCATATTACATAAAATTCAAGATTATAAGTAAATTATGCATAAGTACAACTTATTAAGCTCCATGTTGGAATTCGTGTAACTAACTGTAAATAAATATAATCAAATACATGATAAAATTGTCATTTTAAATATATCTAAAATATAATTAAAATAATTATTGAGTTTTAACAGAATACTTAGTTATTATCTTTACAAAAATTATATTATTAAACTAAAAACAAATTACTTCGTCATTAAACTTAAATTAAATTATAATAAAAAAATTTGAATTAAAAAATTACAAAAAAAATGAGAATTTTTATATATTTTTAATTTTTATGATATCTTCAAATTTATATTTTAAATTAAAACATTATTGCTTACTCAAAACCATATGAACCCATATTATAATATCGAAAAGATCAAAAAAATAAAACGAAACATTAAAATCGAGATATATTTTGTTGTATAACGTGAATCTCCCTTTTGGTTTATCAAAGTGAATTGTTGGTTAGCTTCTTTTGTCAGTTAAACACTTACTAGATAAGAATATTCTCTTTTACTGAGTAAGATTTTCGATCTTTACTATGACTCTTACCGAATAAGATTATTGATCCTTATATTTTCTTTTGATTTAGCATACATTTTATTTACTTATCATCCTTGTTTCAATTAAAATTTAATGTTTATTTTACAAAAAAAAAAATGATGGGTACCAAACATAAAAATAATTTTAAAAATCCATCAAAACCCGAGTTACAACGAGTTATGATCTTACAGTGGTTACACAATAAACCGACAATAAAACACGATAACTTATATTTTATGACGGGTCTCAAAATTAATAATTCAAATCCGTTATAATTTACATATATAATTCAAAAGAAAACAAATCGGGTTTCGAGTTCCTTTTGGATTTCCTTCTTGATCAATCACAAGTTCACAACCAGTGATGGCCAAACCGGCCCGACCCTGCCCAGGACCGAAATCGGGACCGGATTTTGACCATCACTAATCACAACTGAGGCATAAGTTACCAAACTTTCTTCTGGCCCATTAGCCCAATAACCTCTTCCCAAAGCCCAACACGTCCCACATTATCCAGCCCAATAACATTTGGGCTACAAGCAGCCACAGCCCAATAACCACCTTTTATCTCATCTCTCAATTGTTCCTTTTCCCACCCACAATATCCATCAAAAAACCTAAACTCACCCAACCCAACCACATTCCTCTTGACCATCTCACTTGCACACCCTACACTTTCTTTGGTCCCATAAAACAACCCTTTCATTACCTCTTCAAAAACCCCACTTTTCCTTACCCCATCCCCACCACCCACCAAAAACAACCCTTCTTCGAGGGGCCCGCCGAAGAACAGCGGCCGGTCGGAGAACGTTCCGGAAACGTCTAGTGTCGTTGTTGACCGCATCTCCTTGATCGACATGAGAGATGGGCGGTTGAGAATGATGCCGGTGGGGCCCACTGGGCCTGTGGACAAGAGAAGGACCACTGTCCTTTCGAAGATGTGGACCCCATCTAGTTTCTCGGTTGCTATGAGTAAGCAACCTTTTTCGGGCTCATGGATGGCATGAGCCCATTTGTCACCTATTGAGATAGATGGTGGTTGGTTCGGTACGGTATCGGGATCGGTGGTTGGAGAAGATTCTTGGGATGGTAACGCTTGTTCTCCGGCTACGAGTCTTGCTCTGAATAACCGCCAATCGGCATCGATAGACGGATTTTCCTCGTCTCGGGATGAGGGTGATGGTGAATTTGATTGAGATTGACAACCTAAAATAGACAAAGTCGTTACAACATTAAAATAAATTAAATCAAACGAAACCAGTAAATCCCACACATAATTGAGTCATGAAGGGTAATATAGACGCAGACGTTACCTCTGTCTGTTTGATTCCGTGAAAATGACCGATCGTAAAAAAACATCCTTAATTTTATCAAAACTCAGTATTTTTCTTATTTTTTACATAAACAATGGTTAGTTTGTAACAGAAAAACCCAACACAATACGTCAAAAGCTCAAAATTTGTTAAATCATCTTCATACAAATGAAAGTCAAATTTTAGAGAGTTAAAAGGGGTCAACAAATCTTAAAAAAAATCATTAATGGTCGTTTACCAAACGCCTACCGCATTTACCAACAAAAATCACCATCTTACTTACTTTATCACATAACATTCTCGACCATCAAAATGAATTGTTAGTAAACGTCTTTTACCCTATAAGCAATTATCAGGTAAGAATCTTCTCCCTCACTTCAGGTAATATTCTTCGTTCTTACTATACCTCTCACCAGATAAACCTCTCAGTCTTTGCCATGTTCACCAGTAAACGTAAGTGACACCCATCAAGCATTACCAAGTAAAAGTCTTCTCCATAAGAGTCTCAACCCTCGCTATGCCTCTTATGATGACAAGTAACCTTTCGGACCTTGTCATACTCACCCAGTAAAAAAAAAATGACACCTGGTAAGCTCTCACCCGGTAAATGTTTGGTAAACTAAATCATCATCAACCATCAAATTTCAACCTCTTAGATTTAAAAGATCCCACCAACACAACATAAACAAAACAAACCCAGTAATCAATAACCTTAAACCAAACAAACCCAGTATATCTCACCACAAACAGATAAAAACAAGAAACAGAAACTCACATGTTGCAGGAGAGTGAATGGTAGCTTTCCTAATCTGAAACTGAGAAGATGATCTCTTCTTCTTGGGTTGTTGCACAAAGATTCTTGATTTGATTGATGGGATCACAATCTCCATTGATTTTGTGAATGAATTTGAGGAAAGAAAACAAGCTTCCATTTTTTTTCTTGTTCTTGAGTCCCTTCAACTCACTGAGTTGACTCTGCAGAAGAAAGTGAAGAGAAAAGGGTTTGATTTTGAGTCCTATATAATGGGAAACAGGGTGAATGTGTACCACAAGATTCTTTTGAACCCAATCCCCCATCCAACTTTTGCAAATTTATCAGTATGGGCCAGTGGATAAACCTTTACAGTTGAGAAAAACTGGCCAATGAGAGAGTGACATATGGAGGTTTAGGTAGTTCAAGAAAACTGGCAAATAATTCACTGCCTTTATGATATATGTGTCATCATCCTGGCCATTTAGTTTTCTCTTGTGATGTGTGGGATGTTTTCCACAACTGGAGATGTTGAGCAGCTGTCAAAGATTATTGGGGAGCAAACTTTGCAGTCTAGTTGAAGGGTTGGGTTCATGTGAGACCAGCTTGTTTTCGTGAGACCATTTTTTTACACTTGAAACTTTATAGTAAAACGTTGTGAATGTAAAAAAAACCCGAACCTTCAAAGCAAAAACACTGTGAACGTTACCTTCACAGCGTTTTGCTGTGAAGTTTTGAGTGTAAAAAAGTGGTCTCACGAAAACAGGCTGGTCTCACGTGAACCCAACCCTTTAACCGGTTATTTTAATTAAATTCATAATTTTAGCCGGAGTTTACGTCGATGCCTAACACATTTATGTGAAGTTTATTTTCAGATTTAGAAAATGGGAAAAATCTTTACACAAATTTGCGTAAGGATCTCAATTTGCATAAAGAATTTGCGTAAAGATCCTATTTGTGTAAAGAACTTGCATAATTTTTTTAATTTGAAAATAGGTTTTATACAAACGGATAAGGCATTTGCGTAAACTTTGGCTAAACTGGGAATTCAATGCCAAAAGTGGCTAAAAAGTGAATTTGGTTGAAAAAATTGGATATTTTGGTTAATTTCCAGTCGTTTAGGTATATAAACTTAAATGAGATTTTAATTAAATTAATGACCTTATGGCCTATAAAAGAAAAATGGTCTCATATTCATCAGAAGGTCATATGAATTTAATTAATATCTCAATTAGAGTTAATATACCTAAATACATCTAAAAATACCCATATAGAAACGACCGAATAATTTAGGGTTATATGACCTTAAATGAATTTTCAATCGGTAGTATGATGATTTAAAAATATTAAACTCAATGACCTTCACCAATTTACGCTGTCTCCATCCATGACGTTCGTCAAGCAGGCCACGTGGATTTGAGTGAGCTGGAGCGCAGCCATCTTATCCACTTAATTAGCTAGAAGCTATTGCTTTAGGTCCGGAAATCTTGTACTCAGGGTCACGGATAAAGTGCCTATTTCTTTTGTAGCAGCCAAGGATGAGTTCGATCCATTAGGTGATGTCGTCTCTGGTCTAAAACAATTTACCCGGCCGTTTACCAAGCGCTTACCCGTGTATGCACTTACCAAGTCACATTAGCTTACCAGATGATGAATATGGTAAAGACCAAGAATGTTACCCAGTAAGAGCGAGACAAAGATCAAGGGTCTTACCCGGTAAGTGAGAGCGACGACTCTTACCATGTAAGCGCTTACAGGGCAAATTGTTGTATACGATTACTTTTTGATGACTAATATTTTGTCCGGTAAGTAACTGATAGTGTTGAATTTTACCAATAAGCGCTTACCAGGTAAGTGTTTGGTAAACGACCCCTTAGAAGGTTAGATTTTTAAAGTCAGCTTTATAGAAGGTAAATTTACCTAAATGGCCTTTTTACGTCAAAATGACATTCTCCCGAAGCTGGTCTTGCAAAATGACCCTCTGGTGTATTTCTAAGTTTTGATGGGAGCGTGAAGCACATTGTTTTTAACAAATGCAAGTTATTTTGAACAAGAAGCAAGTCAGATGAAGGTCATTTAATTGTTTTAACTGGATGACCTTCATCTGACCTGACTCTGTTGTAACACAATTTGCCAACTTGAAAATACACTTGAAGGTCAGATTCATAAAGCCGGTTTTGTAGACGGTAAATTAAGCTTGCACAATGACCTTCTTCATAAGCTCGTTTTGCAAAATTAAGGTCAGATTGTTTCTAAGTTTTGATGGAACAAGTTGTTTCTAACAATTACAAGCTATTTTGAACAACAAACATAAAAGTCACTAAGCTAAAAAAAAAAGGGCAATTGACTAAAATAAGCAAATTCACTTTTCAAATTCCCATTTTAGCAGAGTTTATGGAAATGGCTTACGCATTTATGTAAAACCAGTTCTCAGTTTAAAAAAAAATCCTTACATAATTTGCATAAGGATCCCATTTGCATGAAGAATTTTTTCCTTTTTTCTTAATCTGAAAATAGGCTTTTAAGGTGCGTAAACTTTGGCTAAAATGACAATTCGACGCCAAAATTGACTAAAAAATGAAATTGGTTGTGAAGATTGACTATTTTTGATCAATTTTCCAAAAAATAAATAAACTTGGTGTTGCTATTTACACCCCTACGGGTGTAAAAAGCATCGGCATTTGTTGCTTCCTTCTAAAAATAAACTCACTTTGCACAAAGAAGTGACAATTTTTTTTACATTCTCTTTGGGACATTTCATCAAACATTTGGCATGCTTTGTTTAATCACAGTAAACCCAAGCGGGAACATGGTTCTACTATCCAGAATCATAAAAAGACACACGAGGAATTAAAAGAGGATTGAAAGGTTGAAAACACATACATGCCAGAGATTTAACCCATTATCAACATGAAACGCGAGGGAGCACCAGTCCCACCACGATTACTAACAAGTTCGAATAACCTAAACTTCTTGAAGCTTCTTGTTTGTTGGGCATTTAGCTCAAATATTCGTTTGAAACAATTTATCAAAAGGATCCAACAACATTTGGAAAGAAGATCTGGCCCTGAAAATGCAGTGTAGTCGCCCAGATTGGGGCAGGGATTCCCGGCAAATCTGGGACCCGGATGGGGACAGGGATCTGCGAAAGTTAAAAACCGGGGACGAATGGGAAACATGATCCCAACCCGCCCTATTCTCGTATATTTAATATATTATATATTTATTATTAAATATATTATTTATAAAAAAACTAGATTTAATATTTTTTAGATTTATAAAAAAGTATTTTAGCTTCTTTTTTTGTTTTGATTTTGTCGAATTACTGTTGATATGTCACTTTAAATTATGGGTGTTCATGAGTTGGGTTGAAGACATTTGAACAACCCATGTCAGCAAATAATACTGAGTTTGATACCATATCACTCGTCACATCCGCATGACATGTGACAACCGGTTACCTGAATACTCAAATGTTTAAAATTTTATATCTTAGGTACTAAAACTGATGGTTTAAATATACGTTATCCAAAATTGGAAATCAAGTTTCTATATTTGATCTCACATGAAAACATCCAAGAACAAGAATTTGTGCCACCATTATTTGTTTTCATCCCACTATGAGCAACTTCAATCGAACGGCATAAATTTGTCGGAAGTGAATTTGGAACGGCAAATTTGTCGTGGAAGACTTGGACACCAAAAGGGTGGTCCCCACCACCATTCATAATTCTTTTTTTTATAAATTATAAATAAATAATTACAAATATTAACTTTTTAGTTTTTATATTCATTATGTAAATTTATATGCATATATAATAAATTATTAATAACACAAATATAATACCGGATAAACGTAAACGTAGTTTATTTATGAAAATTTTAAAAACTAAAATACATAAATTAAAGGGTCCACTGATTTCCGCTATTTCCTGCTACGCTCTAAGATCCTTCGGCCTGTTTTTGAACTCCTTCTCTAAATTCTTGATATTGAGATACTCGATATTGAGATGCTACGTATTTTGATCCTTGTCCAAATTATAATTATTATAATATCTATTACAAGTTATAATTATTTGTTATTAAAAATGGTAAATAAAATATATTATTTTAATGTGAAATCCATAAATTTAGTGTTTTTTTTAAAGTGCGATTGAAATTGAGTTTTTTTTTTTTTTTTTTTTAATGAATACAAGCCTTTGGTGTTTTTGGTGTTTTTTTTTTTGAAATGGTTGGAGTTGCTCTAATCCCTTTGTCATCCCTCTTTTAAATTGTAATGTGATTCATCTTTACTTTTTTCTGAGTTTAATTTCCATGGAGGCTAAGCCACTAAGACTCCCCTTTTCTCCTCCCTTCTCCGCCACTCCTTTCACGAAATCATTGAGATCAATCGCTTCATTTCGCCCTCCAATGTGGAAGAACTGGAACTTGCAGACATCCAACAAATTAGGGTTTTCGAAGGATGGTGTTCAATCTGTCCAGGCATCTGCTACTTCATTCGGGTAGTTATCCATCGCCTTGTTTTTTATTTTATTGAATTTTTAATCATTTCAAACTCTCTGATTATACCAATTTTCTATTAGAATCTGTTATCATCTATGCATTTTTGGGGGGTTTGCCATTTGGTAGTTGCATTCCAGGTGCTTCTGCCAAGTAGAGATGGCTGGTTAGGTCATGATCTGTACATATGACTTGGATACACCAAATTTTGGAGATAATCCAAATTCACACTCTGCCTTTTAGTCAGAAAACCAGAGTAAAACACCACAGATTTTAGGCAGAAAACCAGAAGAGAACACAAAGATATTGCTATGTTTATCCATATCGTTTAGGTTATGGGACTCTGCAAGAGGGGGGGGGGAGGAAGGGTGATCGCGGTGTACACGTACTAACTTGTATTATAGATTCAAGCTAGCTTATACAAGCGTGTTCTCCGCACCTCCTAACTTGTATTATAGCTTAACTAAAAACCCCTTCAGTCTCTTGTAAATCTCAATTACACCAAATGCTCGATGACAATAAAATCACCAAACATCCCCAAAAGGAGTCTACTATTGATACTGAAGCTACATCTACTATTTGTAAGCTATTAGATTATAAGTTTGCTTTTCGGAAGTCACCTTTTATATGAGGTAGAGGTGGACGAAATGTATGCATACTGCTTACTCTTGGACCCTTTTCTGATTGGATATATCAGGTTTGTTTTGTCTGGTTTGGTTTATTAGAACTTTACCCTCATAAACCTCAAAAAGACAACCCCACATAGATTCAATCTCTTGGGGTAGCTTAACATTTTGTGACATGTTCTACTACATTTTGGTGCATCGTGCTTTTTTATTTGAGTTGATACCGTTGGAGTCCCACATCGGCTAGATTTGGACTATTTCTCTTCAATATATGTTGGAACCTTTTTTCTGTCTTAAAGGCTCTCTTGAAGAGTAATCTAACGGGATTCCACATATTCTCATAGATACATATATGCATACATGAGAATGTCCTATCATATTACCGGTAGCATCTGAATTAGTTCACTCTAAAGTAGGTCTATGGACCGACTCCGACTAATAGCAAGCAACAGGTGAACAGGAGCAAGGGTTTTGATCTCTTGGACATGCCTCTCAGTAAAAGATGCTACATAAGATACTAGCCAATTTACCGAAAAAGTACACATTTTTGTGCTAGAAAGTTGAGTTTGCTTGCTACATTTTGGTGGAATATCCCATCTGCCCCGGTTCGATTCCAGATGTCCACAACAATTGTGGTTGTGGCCATTGAGTTTATTAGGGATAATTTCTTGCATTCGCAATTTGCCATGAATAGTCCTGGCATAGCTTCCTTCCAAAAAAAAAAAGTTGAGTTTGTTCTAGATTTCTATCTATTTTTCAGCAGTTGTAGGCTAGCTATGGCTGCCAAGTTTTCATGAATATACTTGCCCGTGGAAGTCTTTTGTTTGTACCCGTTGGGTCCCTAAGTGCATTTTCAATCAAGGGCCTTTGGGTTGGGTGCCCTAGGAATCTTGGAGCAAAGGAGCCTACAACAAGAGGGGGTGGCGTAAATAGTCTTTTGATAGCAACCGATATAGAATTTCACTATTCAAACACAAATCAAGATAACCAAGTGGTTACAGAATGGTTTCTCCTACAATCTCCAACTTTCGAGAGGTTGGAACTCTCTAGAACTTGTTACACAATTCACATGCATACAACTATGACCTAGACTTCTATTTATACTCCTCTGCCACTGACTTAACCAACCCACACCGATGTCTAACTACGTTCCATTCGGAAAAGACCAAACTGCCCTTATTTCCTTCTCCTTGAATATGTAAAATGAATCTCAGGCTTATCATCTTTCTAGTATGTGTAAGCTATATTTGACAAACTAGCTGATAAACTATCTTTTAGCTGAAAAGTTAGCGGCTGGCTTATAAGCTAGTTGTTAGCTAATAAACTAGATATGTTTGGCAAAAATTAGCTGATAAGCTTAGATGACAAGGCAAAATGACCTAAAAGGACATGTTGAAAAATGAATTAGAAAAATTTAAGGGACATAATTGGAAGAAAAATAGTCCCAACAACTTATTGAAACGCTACTTGTTTCAAAAAGATAGCTTATGAGCTAGTTTGTGGCTAACCGAACGGGCTTTTTCTATAAGTTTAAAAAACAAGCTTGCCTATGGTTGCCAAACATGGCCGTAGTAACTAGATAGCCACTTGCCCAATTTTTTTTGTCTCTTTTGGATATATATATATAATAGGGCCGGGTTCGAACAAGAATAGTGACCACATAAGAAAACAAGAGAATGGCCAAAACCATGTGTGATTTTACACTAAATTTCACATGTGATCGTGGGCCAAGTCGCCCGCACAACCCTTGCATTGACCGTGTTCTGTAATCACATGTGATTTCAGTGGAAAATCACATGTGATTTTAGTAGAAAATCTCATGATTTGGCAGTTCTCGTGTTTTCTTATGTTGACTCTGTTCTCGTTTAAATCTCCTATATCTATCTATATATATATATATATATATATATATATATATTTATTTATTTCTTCGAGTAATGTTGAATATTAGTTTGCTACTTTCTCTAAACTATATTAAGATCACAACTATCTTACCCTCAGGATATATTTTGAACATCTCAAACATACTTACATGATTACTGAAGTGTTGATGTTGTTCATCTCTTTCCTAATAGATCGAAGAATCAGATTAGGGTGGACGAGAGTGAGATCTATACTCTCGATGGTATAAGAAGTTCTTTAATTCGACAAGAGGATAGCATCATATATAGTCTTGTGGAAAGAGCTCAATATTGTTACAATGAGGATACATATGACCCCACTGCTTTTTTCATGGATGGCTTCCAGGGTTCTTTGGTCGAGTTTATGGTCAAAGAAACCGAAAAGGTCCATGCTCAGGTGATTCAAAGCTCTAATTGATGTTGTCATTTCGCACATTTTGCACAAGCCGGGGATCTTTGCGGAAACAATCTGTTACTCCTTGAGCTTTTAGCTAGACGTCAGGGTCTGCTCCCTCCCCCCCCCCAAAAAAAAAACCAAGAACCCACCTCCTGGTGGGGATATTCATCCCACCATGTTTGTTTGATTTGGTTTAGTGATGTTGTGAGTATTTAAAGATGAAATCAACATGAATGTAATGACCGTTCTATCAAGTAGGTTGGAAGATACAAGAGCCCCGATGAGCATCCATTTTTCCCAACTGACTTACTCGACCCTATGTTGCCGCCGTTGCAGTACCCACAGGTGATACATTAGCGCAGAGGGAAGTTCAAATGAGAACCGTAAATATTTTGAGAAATGGGAACCAACTATTTCAGGAGTTATTCATGATGAATAACACTACAATATTCATGAATATTTGAGCAATGTTCGTCATGAATATCATGATTTTCATTATTCATGATATTCATCATGAATAATTCATAGATGGTTCTCGTTTCTCAAACCCACAAGTCAAAACTTTGTCATTGAATCGTTGGTTTTTTAATTGGGTTACAAATTATGGAAAGAAGATATTGAGATGCTATACTCCCATTTGTAACTAGAAACCAAATATATTCACTAATTCAGTATCTTGAAATGCATATAGGTGTTGCATCCTTGTGCTCAAGATATCAACATTAACCGCAAAATATGGGATATTTACTTTAAACATCTTCTCCCTAGACTTGTCAAGGAGGGAAATGACGGTAATTGTGGATCGGCAGCAACCTGTGACTCCACGTGCTTGCAGGTACACATTTTAACCGATGCACCAAGCTTGTATGAATAATCTTTATGTTCATAAAAGTCACACACATACGTACATACACACATACATGTACATACTACATGCATTTCGTTTCAGAATATATCCCATACGAACCCAAGATGATAAACCAAACAAACCCAATATATCCCATACAAATGTAGGGTCTGGGGAGCATAGTTCTTAAGGCGCGCCTAGGCTCTGAGGCTCAAGGTCTTGGGCTTTTTTAAAATCGAGGCTAGGCATATTCACGAAGTTCACAAAGGCCCGCCGCTTTGGCTGGGCACCTTGTGGCCTAGACGCGCCTCATAAAGATTCATTAAATACCAAGTCAAATCCCAATACTAAATAAGTTCTCTCATCTTCTTATCTCATAGGCTTCTTAAATAAGAGTTATTAAATAGATGAAATAAGTCAAACCCTAATATTAAATACCCTAGTCTTATAACTTCAAGCCTCTTTCTTCATAAATACCCAGACCTTAAAACTTCTCCCCCATGGCTCATGCTTTAAACCCTTCTCCCTTCTGACTCTATCAAAATACTGTTGGTTGTTGCACTGGAGTACTTGCTACATATTTGAGTTGTGTATAACTGTGTGTGTGTATATATATTTTTATATATACTTTTTTATAAGATACACTTCACATTCTTGAGGTCTGAGCCTCACACTTGTGCCTTGCGCCTAGGCCTCGGGACCCCTTCACATCTAAGTGCGCCTTGAGCCTTTAACAACTTTGCTGGGGAGGGTAGGATGTATGCAAACAGTAAAACCCATACAAATATAGGGTATGGAGAGGGTAGGATGTGCACAAACCTTACTTGATTCATAGGATTTTTCTTGATTCATGAAACCGAGGAAGGCAAATAAAAAATCTTTTTCTTCCCTCAAGTTTTAAATCTTGATTCGTTTTCTTTATGTTTTACTAGCGATGGGTTTGTGAACAAATATAAGATTAGGTCTGCGTACATCCTACCCCCTAGATTCTTCCTCTTCATAGGATTTACCGAGTTTGTTTTTCTATGGTTTGGTTTCAAATTTCATGTTCAAGTATGAAACGTTATTAATTAATTTTCGTGTACACTTGTCAGTTATGGACTGTTTTATTAGTCGCTAGCGATGATATACTTGCATCTTCCATTTCATGAAAATTGCAACATTTGACTGAGCATGTAGTCTATGAAATAATTCGATTATCAGTCAAATGTCTAGAACGTTCTTCAATAACGGTAATAATGGACCTTGACCAATAAGTTGTATAACAATTTGTTAATGATAGTGGGCAAATAGGTCATTTTACCTTGAAATTTTGCAAAAAAAGACACGATAATTTTTTTTTTGCGGGGCATCCCAAAATAGAAACTGGAATATCACACTCCATTCATCTATGATAGTTATTATGTTTGAAGTTATGGTAAATACTTTTTTAATTAGTCAAACATCTAAAATACCCTTTAATAATGATGAAGAAAGGACCAAAATACCAAACCATACGAACCCAGTATATCCTACCCGGAGGTTTGGGGGGAGACCGTGGCTAGGCGGCTAGTGAAAAGTGTTGAAAGGGTGAAAAACAGATACGTTTATAAGTAATTGTAGCTTGAAACTCTTCCAAGTATGTAATCATTGCAATTTTCATCTGTAATGACTGCAATGCTATAATTTACGATGTTAATTTGCTCATATCCTATATGCAGGCCCTCTCTAAACGAATTCACTATGGTAAGTTCGTAGCCGAAGCCAAATTCCGAGCTTCGCCAGCCGACTATGAAGCTGCCATCAAAGCTCAAGTAAGAATCTCCACGAAAATAGTAAATACGGTTCCCTAGGTTGCGTTTGGTACACATGACATAACAAAATAGGGATCATTGTTCCACGTTTGGAAGGACTTGTATGTGGAACACGCTTGTTCCACCCCCATCCCATGGAAAAAGGTGGAACTGACCTATATTTTATCAAGATAACTTCAAAATAAAACCTAATTCTCTTCTAAAACATCAAATAAGCCTCCCTCTTTACGTTTTATTTTTTCTTTAATTTTTATTTATTGTATTTTATGTTCTTTAACCTTTTACTGATCTCAAATCGTCTTGATTCTAATGATATATTTTGTTTTAAAATTATTTATTTACCATAATTTAATAAATTACATTAATTAATCAAAAAATATGAAGAATTCATTAGGGGTAAATTAGTCATTTTATCTGTTATGTCATGTCCGTCTTATCAAACACTAAACAGTTGTCTTGTGCTGTTATGTAATACTAGATACCAAATGCACCCTAAGGGCCTATATAATGGTACAAGTAAGTGTCTTCACGGAAACAACCGTTCTACTTTTTGGGGGCAGAGGTCATATGTGCGTATATCTTACTCCCTCGACTCCACCTCCGTGTTGGATTTGGTTTAGTTAAGGGGTATAATGGTAATACACATGCAGGATAGGACAAAACTGATGGATTTGTTGACGTACCCGGCTGTGGAAGAGGCAATCAAGAAAAGGGTCGAAACAAAAACCAAGACTTTTGGTCAGGTGGTGAACGTGGGGTTCGGGGAAGATGCGACCGATCCGATATACAAAATAAAACCGAGCTTGGTTGCCGATCTTTATGGAGTCTGGATCATGCCATTGACAAAGGAAGTACAAGTTGAATACTTGTTGAGAAGACTTGATTGAAGAGAAACAAAGGTATGATTTGTTCTTCAAGATTCATGAATTTTTATGGGGTTATTATCGTAAATAACCACACGGGCTAAATTTTTTTACTTTTTAGCTACTTCTAGACTTTTTTTTTTTTGGACAAAACAGCCAAGCCAAGGAACCGCAAGTCAATACTGCAAGACACTTTTTCTTGTGGTGCAGTAAGTTGCGGCATGTCTTTGCTGTGCGGCAAGCTGCGACTTTGGCTTGTTTTTGTGCGTTACGCATCAAGGTATGGTGTCTAAATTTGTTTTTGCGGCGGACCCACTTTTCATCCGGATGTGTCAGAAACCGTAAGGAAAAGTGCTTGAGTTGCGATTTTTTGGCTATTTTTGTGAAAAGAAATTGGAGTGGCTAAGAAGTAGAATTTTTTCCCCATGTGGTTATTATTGATAATAACCCAATTTTTATGCCATCTTGTTTGAAATTTGTTGAAGTACAGATAGTCGATGACGATATCATCGTATGTTTAATGTTTGAATCGGCTCGATGACCGTTTTCTTATATGATTGCGGTTTTTGGCCATATTTGTTAATCATAAGATAGCTTATTTTTTGAGCTTATTGCAAAAAACTATTTGTTAAGTTTAAACTAGCTTATTTTTTGAGCTTATTGAAAAAGCTTATTTATTAAGCCGTAAACTAGCTTATAAGTTAGCTTTTGAAAAGCTCATTCAAGTAACGTTTCAATAAGCTCCAAATGTTCTTTTTTCAACTTTTTTCCAATTATTCCCCTTATATTTTACTTATATGACAAAAAATCCAACCTTTTTAGGTAATTTTACATTGTAATCTAGCTTATCAGCAAAATTTTGGTGTTCTCTAACAAAATACATGACTTGTTTATCAACTAATGGCTATATGATCAGATAGTTTGCTAAATATGGATTTCTTGGTTAGAGTTGTCACTGGTGTTCAAGCGGAAGTGTGAGCCATGTCCAAGTTTGCTCGAGCCGATGGACATGATCATGTGTGTCGGGGGTTTGTTCAGTAGTGACACAATAATAGAATCTTAACGACTCATTTAGGGTTAATCCAGTCTTTTTTACACTTGGGAATAAACAAATTTGTACTTGATTTTCGATTAATTGATATTGAAGGTACCTTCTGTAGATCATCAATTTTTGTGTTGAAATCGTTTTGATATTTGTAGATTTATATTTAATAGTGAACTACAAGTTTGGTCCTCGGTTTGTCGAAAATAACACTTTTCATCCCTCCAGTTTTAAATTTACAAGAAGGTCATCATGGATAGGAGTATAAACGATACGAGACAACTTGCGAGCTACTCGAGATCGATTCGGTCAAAACTCGACTAGAATAGGTACGGCTCGAACTTGACATATTAACGAGTCGAGTTGAGCTACCCAATACTTGACTTGAAAAAAGTTCTTGAGATACTCAATTTTTTTATATATAATTAGTTTTAAGAATATAATCAGTTTTATAATATAATATTATATTTTTTTATATTTGAACAATATTGTGAATTTTTAACTATAAAAACTATATCAATAATTTTTATTTATTAAAACCATAATAAACAAAAAAACTATAGAAGTGTTGGTAAAATTGTCCCTCATTGGAAGAGTGATAGTAAAAGGACGAACAGTTGTTATAAAAAAAAGAGGGAGATGAATGAAGTTTATAGGATTGTCTTTTTTATGATGAAGTTTGAAGTGTATCCCTTTAGTTTTTTAAAATTTAAGAGAACACTTTTAAGTTTTATAATTTTATAAGAGAAAACCAAAAATTTCATTAATTTTGACAGGTGAGCTTGATTCGAGTTTAAAAATTACAATCGTGTTTGAGTCTAGTTTAATTTTTAACTACTCGAGAGTTTTCGAGTTGAGTTCAAGCTTGAAAAATGGCTATCGAGTTCGAGTCGAGTATACTGATACTCAAGCTTGACTTGCATCATTTACACCCCTAATCATGGTATATAAAAACGTCAAGATTTAGTCCATCCATCTAACCGCCATTAATTTTTTTTTTGTTAAATGAATGGAATATTCGTTTTTTTATCAAAATTTTAACTTTTACTCAGTCAAATCGATTTTATGATTTTGATTCTTGTGGGTTTTTATTGTATAAAGACAAAAAGAAAATCAATAAAAGAACCAAAATGTCGTTTCTTTAACGGAATTTTGTAACGGAAGTTATGGAGAGGTACCAAATTTTGATGTTTTCACAAACACGATGACCATCTTGTAATCTTAAAACAAGAGGGACTAGAAATGTTATTCTTGACAAATCACAGGGACCAAAATCAGTAGTTTACTTTATATTTAATTATCAATAAATGATTTTAAGACAAATTTTGTACACAACAATGATTTGATATGATAATGTAGAGGCAACAAGGCATGTTGCTACAATGATCTGTAAAGTAAAATAACAGTTGATTTTGAATTGTTGACTTTTTAAAAAGAAATTGAATTGTTGACTTTTGTACATACATACTAGTTGTTATGTATTTGTCTTAATAGATTTTTTTTTAATTAACCTGAATATCCAATCTGTTATGTAAGTCGACTAATTTCAGAACGACTATGTGTTTTGCGGGTAGCTTGGAGTCAACGCATTTGAACCTCCGTAGCTAAAAGATGATTTTTATTTCTACTTGGATTTGAACTTGAAACCTCTAGGCACACAGTTGTATAAGATGATCAGTCAAATCAAGCAACCCAATATCTAATCGAGTAGTAAAATTTTCAAACTGTAAGTATTGGGTTATTATTATTTGAACTCAACCCAACTCGATGGACTTGATATTCTTGTATTTTTTGGATTTAATATGATTGTTGAGTTTCTATTAATATACACATTAGACAATTACACTATAACGTACCCTCTTCATATACACATATTTTCAATCTATTCTCCATCTCTATGTAACTCGTTCGTGTATATGTTCCGTAACTATGGACATGTATATGTTTGAGAAAATTAATTGAATGTGATATACATAAGATTTGAAAAGTATGTATAAGTTGTATCAAATGGTTGATGATGAAAAGCAAATTATGAGTAGAGAAATAACATATTCAAGGTTAAAAAAAATATTTATTGTACCAAAGTATCAATCCGACCAACCGCACTAACCCAACCAAAACCATTGGTTTGGGTTGAGTTGAGTTAAGATTTTCCAAATCGCAAGCGTTGAGTTGGGTTGTTCAAATGTCTTAAACCCGATCAACCCAACTCATGAACGTCCATACTTGACGATTTCATGAAGTCACTAGACACATGTCATTTTGCCAATGGCAAATTCGTTTTGACGACTTGACTGGTCATTTCTTGCAAATATAAAGAAATTCGGTTATTTTCTTATTTTCTTTATGTATCCCGGTTATTTTAAAGAATTATCTTAACTTTATATTACATGTGAATAAGGGTTCTCGACAAAGGGTGAGTCAGGGCACCTGGGGCTGTAGTATATTCCAAGGGTTGGGCTGTTCGCTACGACTTTGCGGAGACCTGTGTTTTTAGTCAAGTCCTGATAAAAGTTCTTCACTTTGCATCGAATTAAACCACATGCTCCACCGCTGAGACCTTGTTGGACCGAAAACTAGGGAACCGCCCACATGATATTGTCCGCTTTGGGCTGCCCCTCTCGGCAACAACCCCTCACGGCTTTAAAACGCGTCACTGGTAGGAGTAAGATCTCCCCTTCCTTATAAGGAAGACGAATCCCCTTAGCCTCACCGATGTGGGATGCTCCTGCATTGCTACAGG